CAATTCTCTTGTCCAACTTGTTTAGGTGTTCCAAGATCTTTGTACCGACCTCGAGTCCACGACGCTGCCCTGAACAGCGTGGCTATACCAAAGGAATGGCATGGCTATACCAAAGGAAACAGAGAGTTAGTATAAATGGAATCAAGTCAGAGTGGGAAAATGTTGTAAGTGGAGTGCCTCAAGGCTCTGTCCTGGGACCTCTGTTGTTTATAATATATATAAATGATTTAGATTCAGGTTTGAGTAGCAACATTTGCAAATTTGCCGATGATACGAAAATCGGTAGGGAAATTAATTCGGAGGAGGACTCACTATCACTTCAAGTTGATCTAGATAGGGTTTTGAAATGGTCAAAGGATTGGCAGATGCAGTTTAATGCTGATAAATGTAAAGTTCTGAGGTTAGGTAATGATGATAGAGTTACAAGATACGAGCTAGATGGTGTTGTGATTGCGAAGTCGGATTGCGAAAGGGATCTGGGAGTTATGATTAGTAAGAATTTAAAACAAAAGGATCAATGCATAAATGTTCGTAATAAGGCAAATCGGACACTTGGATTTATTAATCGCAGCGTTAGTAACAAGACACCTGGTGTGGTTCTCAAGCTATATCTTGCTCTAGTTAGGCCCCATTTAGATTATGCAGTTCAGTTTTGGTCGCCATATTATAGAATGGATATAAATTCACTTGAACGTGTCCAGCGTAGGATGACTAAGTTAATTCCCCAAATTAGAAATCTTTCATATGAAGAAAGATTAACAAAGCTTAAGTTGCATTCACTGGAAAGGCGAAGAGTTAGGGGTGACATGATAGAGGTTTACAAGTGGATGAATGGACATAACCGGGGGGATATTAATAGGGTATTAAAAGTATCAACACAGGACAGAACACGAAACAATGGATATAAATTGGATAAGTTTAGATTTAGGAAAGACTTGGGTAAATACTGGTTCAGTAACAGGGTTGTTGATTTGTGGAACCAATTGCCGCGTAACATTGTGGAGGTGGGGTCCCTCGATTGTTTCAAGCACGGGTTGGACAAGTATATGAGTGGGATTGGGTGGTTATAGAATAGGAGCTGCCTCGTATATGAGTGGGATTGAAGCAAAGACAAATCCTAAAGGGTTTTTTAGAACTAAAGGCGTTCTTTAGAACTAAAAGTCGCCTCAGAACTAAAGGCGCACACCCTAAAGGGTGTGCGCCTCCATCTCTAGTATCATCTTTTGATACTGGTAATGGCTCGAAAGGGCCACCACTTACGGGCTATTCATGCCCGTGCCACCTCTTGGGTGGCTTAATCTTCATCAATCAATCAATCTACAAGAATCCCATTTAACATTGCAGGTTAATATAGTAAGTACAGCATATAATACACTCTCGGGGCAAAATTCTTGTAGCTCCTAAGTATTCTGTCTATTATACCATTATCACACATCCAAACAATTTGATGTGGTACACTATTTATTTCCTTATTTCTATAGTTATCAATAAGTTGACACTCTAATACATAATGTTCTAAGGTGTGGGCGTGCGGCATACTACATAATTTACACTCCTTATCTTTTTCACTGACATCAACCCCGTATTGCCAGATATATTTGTATCCTAATCGTAATCTCATGTAAATTGAATCCTTCCAAGTAGACTTTCCTTTACATAAGAACATAAGAACATAAGAACAAAGGTAACTGCAGAAGGCCTATTGGCCCATACGAGGCAGCTCCTATTCTATAACCACCCAATCCCACTCATATACTTGTCCAACCCGTGCTTGAAACAATCGAGGGACCCCACCTCCACAATGTTACGCGGCAATTGGTTCCACAAATCAACAACCCTGTTACTGAACCAGTATTTACCCAAGTCTTTCCTAAATCTAAACTTATCCAATTTATATCCATTGTTTCGTGTTCTGTCCTGTGTTGATACTTTTAATACCCTATTAATATCCCCCCGGTAATGTCCATTCATCCACTTGTAAACCTCTATCATGTCACCCCTAACTCTTCGCCTTTCCAGTGAATGCAACTTAAGCTTTGTTAATCTTTCTTCATATGAAAGATTTCTAATTTGGGGAATTAACTTAGTCATCCTACGCTGGACACGTTCAAGTGAATTTATATCCATTCTATAATATGGCGACCAAAACTGAACTGCATAATCTAAATGGGGCCTAACTAGAGCAAGATATAGCTTGAGAACCACACCAGGTGTCTTGTTACTAACGCTGCGATTAATAAATCCAAGTGTCCGATTTGCCTTATTCCGAACATTTATGCATTGATCCTTTTGTTTTAAATTCTTACTAATCATAACTCCCAGATCCCTTTCGCAATCCGACTTCGCAATCACAACACCATCTAGCTCGTATCTTGTAACTCTATCATCATTACCTAACCTCAGAACTTTACATTTATCAGCATTAAACTGCATCTGCCAATCCTTTGACCATTTCAAAACCCTATCTAGATCAACTTGAAGTGATAGTGAGTCCTCCTCCGAATTAATTTCCCTACCGATTTTCGTATCATCGGCAAATTTGCAAATGTTGCTACTCAAACCTGAATCTAAATCATTTATATATATTATAAACAACAGAGGTCCCAGGACAGAGCCTTGAGGCACTCCACTTACAACATTTTCCCACTCTGACTTGATTCCATTTATACTAACTCTCTGTTTCCTTTGGTATAGCCATGCCCTAATCCAGCTTAATATAGCACCCCCAATACCATGAGACTCTATTTTTTTAATCAGTCTTTCATGTGGCACTGTATCAAAAGCTTTGCTAAAGTCAAGGTATACAACATCGCAATCCTTACCACTATCAACTGCCTCAACAATGCTAGAATAAAAAGATAACAAATTTGTTAAACATGAACGGCCATTTATAAAACCATGTTGCGACTCAATTATTAATTTATGTTTTTCAAGATGAAGACGAATTTTATTTGCTATTATAGATTCGAGTAACTTTCCCACAATAGACGTTAGGCTAATTGGTCGATAGTTAGACGCAAGTGATCTATCTCCTTTCTTAAAAACTGGTATCACATTAGCAACTTTCCAAAACAAAACGTCCTTCACTTTACCATAAGTGAAGGACGAATTTGTATTTATTATTGAATAATTCTTAAGTGTGTTACTACTGTCCACCATTGCCATTCTCTTTATCATTTCTTCACCCTCCTGGATCATCTTGATTCTTGTTTTTATTTGTTTCAAGGTTAACTGACATACAACATCAACAAGAGTTTTTTCAGTGGCTCTCTTCGCTATGTCATCAACTACCTCATTCAACAGTATTCCCACATGTGAAGGGATCCACATGAATCTTACTTTATACCCAGTTTTTTCTAGTCTCTTAACATTCTCTCTACACTCTATCACAATATTCTGGTATACTGGGCGTCTGCTATTTAAAGACTCTAACGCTCCTCTGCTGTCAATAAAGAAGCAAGCATTTTTACCACATTTGACTACTTCCTGTAATCCTGCTAATACTCCTTGGAGTTCAGCCTGCGTTGAAGAGACATTGTCAGTTAAGCGGCGTCCAATAACAGTATCTACAGTGTCGATGTCAGTGTACTCCCTGATCAAGACTCCACATCCTGCCTTCCCATCCCTAGCTACTGACCCATCACAATATACATGTAGAGTGTTTTCTGTAGGCAGTTTTCTAATTATACAATCATATGTTGCCCTCAGCTCTCCTATTTCATACATACTTTTTTTCTTATGCAAGGCAGTAATTACTACATCTACATTACAATCCTCCCATGGTGGTGTAAATTTTCTCTTGGGCACAGCAATACACTCTGTAATAACATCATACTTTATAACATTATAACATAATTTATTCATATATACTCTCTTCTTCATCATACACTTCACCTCTTCCCACCTTTTGAACCGAGAGGATTAATTCATTAGCTCCCCCACCTCTCATTAATCTAATGGCAGAGGCTACATTTATCTCTGAAATTCTATCCCCAATACTCTGCAAATTCAACTCCATCCTCATTATCTCAACCATAGCATTTCTTGGGCATCCTAAGATAATTCTCATGGCTTCATTTTGTACCTTCTCCAACTTGCCCATCCTACCTTTACCAAAACAAGAAATGACAGGTGCAGCATAATCAATAAGAGATCTTACAGTACTCAAGTATATCATTCGTAGCACAGGGACTCCCACTTCCTTTCCACAGCACGCCAAGGCCTTCAGAGGTTGTAATCTCTTCCGACATTGACCCATCAGTCTATTCATCTCAGCTTCCAAACTCTCATGGGTATATCCAACATATATGCCTAAATATTTATATATATTAACTCTCTATATTTTTACCGTTTATTTTCAATACAATGGGGCTCCGACTTCTGCATTCAAACTTAGTTTTGTTTTCATTAACCACCAGTCCCATATGGTGACACAGGTTTCCGAAATTGTCCAACACTGAACCTTTGAAATATCTTTGCCCTGAAACAAAATATCATCGGCATATATGATCGGAGTTACCACATTTGAGTATCTCTCAGATGCTATCTTATTCATTAGTACATTAAACAGGGTGGGACTCAACACTCCTCCCTGAGGTGTGCCGAGTTCAAAAGACCTCACACCTGACATACAGCCTTGATACCACACCTGAGCCTTCCTTTCGTAAAGATAATCCCCTATCCAGCGCAATAATTTCCCTTTAACACCAAGACCAGCTAATTCATATAAAATAACCTCTTTGTTGGCTTTATCAAAAGCTCCTTGTAAATCAATGAAAATTCTATAATAATCATTTTCATTAGCTAGACATTTAATAATACAATCAGAGGTACTTTTTCCTTTGAGGAACCCGAACAAATTACTAGATTATTATTATCTTGGAATATTATCTTGTCTTTCTTCAGAGCCTCGTTATGCAGGGCCGGTGAACCTTAAATATATAGAATTTATTTATTTATTATTTTATTTACTCCATAAATAATGGTTCATATTCACTCACCAGTTTATGATGAAAAGTTAGTGGATATGTCGAAGGAAATAACAGCCGCTTCCTTCCATTAATCCGCGTCTCTAGCTGTATGTGGTCATAGTATACATGGTCCTGTTGCATTCTTCCGGTGAAATTTTCCTGCTGAGTTTGTATAGAACTTTGTAACCCAGGTCCCGTCTGTCGTCGATCACTACACTTCTTGGGGTCGTTCATCACTATCAGTATCACTTAACTCTGCCCACGGGTTCTTGCACCATACTTCAGCTCGCCAGTACTACAAAAAAAAAATGCCAAAATATTGTGCCCCAGTGAGGGTATTGTTAATCTCCAGCAAACAAACCAAGTATTATACCTCATTAAATACTAGTATTTTAATACAACAACCTAGTATTATACCTCATTGCTTTTTCCCAAAGCAAATTCGAATTGTTGCTAAGTAATCACTATTTTATCTGTTTTAATGTTGGTGACAACGTCACTAAACACGTGACCATTTCTTCCGGGAATTTTAGAACGTATCTTGTCGATGTGGAATTTCCTGCTATAATGTTTAAGTGGATCTAATATAGTATGATGGTAGTAAGTGAAACTATCTCCGTACAGCCATGTTAGCACTGCAAATGTGTGTGTGGAATGTGTATACGGTATATGTAGTGTGTGTGTGTATGTGTAGATGCGGTACGAGATGTTTTCCTGTGAGTGTTGTAGAGATACGTGCGGCGGCGTGCGGGTGTAGCAGCGACCATACGTGTCCCGGCCGTGTCCGGGGGTCTGTGACAGGTACACTTGTGACTACAAGTACACGCTCCCAGCACTAGTTGCTCCCACTGCTACAAGATACACGGTACTGAAGACAGGTAGGCTCCGGGCACCTTCTCCATACATCATTACATTGCGGTACGGTGTTCAGTGTCGGAATAATGAACAAATACAATGTGTGTGTGAAGGAGAAACGGCAAACACTGTTCACTGGACAATAAGTTTTGTAATCTATATATCAGTCAGTTTGGAGGTTGGAGGCGGGCCGTAGCTGAGCTCTGGCAAGCTCGACTACACTAGTTATACATGGCTTGTCGCGCGCCAGTGGTACACGTAATGTACACTTATTGTCACAAGTTGGTGTTGTGTTACAAGACCGTGGGGTGCTGTGCTGTTGTTACAAGACCGTGGGATGCTGTGCTGTTGTGTTACAAGGCCGTGGGATGCTGTGCTGTTGTGTTACAAGGTCGTGGGGTGCTGTGCTGTTGTTACAAGGCCGTGGGATGCTGTGCTGTTGTGTTACAAGGTCGTGGGGTGCTGTGCTGTTGTTACAAGACCGTGGGATGCTGTGCTGTTGTGTTACAAGGCCGTGGGGTGCTGTGCTGTTGTGTTACAAGGCCGTGGGGTGCTGTGCTGTTGTGTTACAAGACCGTGGGATGCTGTGCTGTTGTGTTACAAGGCCGTGGGGTGCTGTGCTGTTGTGTTACAAGACCGTGGGGTGCTGTGCTGTTGTGTTACAAGGCCGTGGGATGCTGTGCTCTTGTGTTACAAGACCGTGGGGTGCTGTGCTGTTGTGTTACAAGGTCGTGGTGTGCTGTGCTGTTGTGTTACAAGGTCGTGGGATGCTGTGCTGTTGTGTTACAAGACCGTGGGGTGCTGTGCTGTTGTTACAAGACCGTGGGATGCTGTGCTGTTGTGTTACAAGGCCGTGGGATGCTGTGCTCTTGTGTTACAAGGCCGTGGGATGCTGTGCTGTTGTGTTACAAGGCCGTGGGGTGCTGTGCTGTTGTGTTACAAGGCCGTGGGATGCTGTGCTGCTGTGTTACAAGGCCGTGGGGTGCTGTGCTGTTGTGTTACAAGGCCTTGGGGTGCTGTGCTGTTGTGTTACAAGGCCGTGGGATGCTGTGCTGTTGTGTTACAAGGCCTTGGGGTGCTGTGCTGTTGTGTTACAAGGCCGTGGGGTGCTGTGCTGTTGTGTTACAAGGTCGTGGGGTGCTGTGCTGTTGTGTTACAAGGCCGTGGGGTGCTGTGCTGTTGTGTTACAAGACCGTGGTGTGCTGTGCTGTTGTTACAAGACCGTGGGATGCTGTGCTGTTGTGTTACAAGACCGTGGGGTGCTGTGCTGTTGTTACAAGACCGTGGGGTGTTGTGCTGTTGTGTTACAAGACTGTGAGGTGCTGTACTGTTGTTACAAGACCGTGAGGTGCTGTGCTGCTGTGTTACAAGGCCGTGGGGGGTGTTGTGATGTACAGTATTACAAGGCCATTGGGTGTTGTGCTATTGTGTTCAAGGCTATGGGGTTTCTGTGCTATTGTGTTACAGGGCTAAGGGCTTGCTATGCTATTGTAGTACAAGGCAATAGCACAGGGTTATCGTGTAACAAGTCTGTGAGGAGTTGTGCTATTGTGTTACAAGGCCTTAAGGGGCTGTGCTATCATTACAAGGCCATGAGGAGTTGTGCTGCTGTGTACTATTTACTTGTACTGTTGTGTACTATTTGGTTTCAAGCCTGTGGGGTACTACTAATAAATAAAATAATACATGTTTATTCAGGTAAAAGTACATACATACAAGATGAGTTACAAACAGAATTGTAGATTTCTAGATAGAGCTAGTACATACCACTAAAGCCACTAATATGCACAGCATTTTGGACAAGATACTATTTGGTTACAAACCTGTGGAACACAACTACAGCATTTGGTTACAAGCCTGTGGGACACATCTGCAACATTTGGTTACAAGCCTGTGGGACACATCTGCAACATTTGGTTACAAGCCTGTGGGCCACAACTGCAATATTTGGTTACAAACCTGTGGAACATAACTACAGCATTTGGTTACAAGCCTGTGGGACACATCTGCAACATTTGGTTACAAGCCTGTGGGACACATCTGCAACATTTGGTTACAAGCCTGTGGGACACATCTGCAACATTTGGTTACAAGCCTGTGGGACACAACTGCAATATTTGGTTACAAGCCTGTGGGACATAATTACAGCATTTGGTTACAAGCCTGTGGGACACATCTGCAACATTTGGTTACAAGCCTGTGGGACACATCTGCAACATTTGGTTACAAGCCTGTGGGACACATCTGCAACATTTGGTTACAAGCCTGTGGGACACAACTGCAATATTTGGTTACAAGCCTGTGGGACATAATTACAGCATTTGGTTACAAGCCTGTGGGACACTTCTATATCATTTGGTTTCAAGCATTTGTGGTGCTGTACTCTTTGGTAACATGCCTGTGCTGTACAATGTGGTTACAGGCTTGTATCTTGCAGCTAGCTTATATGATATGGTAGTTATAAAAAGGGAAATGTAAAATCCTCACTGACTCCTTTTTCATTTCAGAAAGTTTTAAATTCCTGTAACTGGATGAAGTTGATGGTTTGAGTTGACTACTGTGATTCACACAACTAACAAATAATGGGTGAGTTGAGTCAACTTTTGTTTCAGAGTTTAGTGTTTGTTTGTGAAGTTTAAATATCAAATTAAGAATAAGAAATGTTTGGTTCTTAGGAGAGCTTACATAAATCTGAATTGAGAATGCTCGCCTCAAAGCCTGTCATTGTCTGCCATTAATGTTTAATTAACACAGGTGTCGGTTCCTGTTAGTTTGTCTGCTTATTTTCCAGCCTTTAAGACACACCTTTTATGGACAAGGAAAATATTTGTTCTGTAATAAAAAATCTATTACAAATAGTGTACTGTACTTAACTTTAAATTCTTTCTGAATTTCAAGTTTTCTCCATTTCTTCATATCACCGTGGACCGACTAAAACTATTAGAATATTTTTCAGATGTCTGAAATAAAGGTTTTATAATACTGTATGCAAAATAAACAGTTTTCTTTCTTACACCAGGAAAACACCCTAAAAGTGTGCACACTTTAAGGGTCAAGAAATATGTTTTTCTCTGATTAAATTTTGATAACAGCATTTGCCAGCCTGCAGGATCAGGGTGGCTGGATATGGATAAATGTTGTACAGTATACAGATAACTAGATGAGTGCTGGATAAATAACTGGATAAATCATAGATCTACATATTATGCAATATGTTGTCAATGGGGTGTCACATAATGGTATCAAGACAATTACAGATGTACGGTTTCAAAATCTTACTTTCTTTTATTTTAATAAATGTAATTAATAGATGAAACTGTACCTGCATGATAAGTACAGTGTGAATATAACATAATGGATAAAGTCTTAATGTACTGTACCTTACTTTTTCCAGTTGGTACAAATATCCAGGTTGGAGGGAGTTTCCCGAGACAATGCCCCATATGCTGTGTAAGTTAGAAACATATCTATGCTTTTATTTCATTAAGATGTCACAGTGTAATAAAATATGTTTGTTAAGGATTTTAGATGGATTAACATATTGATAATTTTTAAAGTTAATTTAGCTGTTATCTCTAATAATAATTTGTTTGGTAATTATTTTTTGGCTTGTTTTTTCAGATAAATTCTAATTCTAAAGAGGAGTTTGAGGAACATAAGTCATCGGCTGAGCACCGTGTCAGGTGGCTTAAGCACTGGTACAATACCAACAGGTATGTCATCTTTTCAGGCCCGTGTGTGAATGTTAACAGGGACCTGTGTGAGATATATAGTCATTAGGCCCCCTCCACCCCCCCTCCTCGCATCTCTTATGACACAATATAGGTACTGCACTGTACCTTGTCTAAATAATTTAGGGCACCAGTCTGATATGAATTTTGCATTAGTGTAGACACTTCAAAATTGTTCACCCCCACCAGGTCAGTGGAGCTGAGCAAGGTCACATGTCCTAGTTCCCTGCAGGATTTCATTTAAATGTCACTTCCCATAACTTGTTTGCTTGCCATGATTTCTTTTGTAATCTAGAGATATTTGGTTTTACACCTTATTGTAGATACTGTACTGTACATGAGCCCATCACAGAGCAGCAAAAGTAAAAAGAGAAGCTATTGATAGTGAAATAACTTGCTGTAGCGTATGTTGTGAAAATTCATTGAAAATACTTTCCGGGCAGGCCCCCTCAGTAGCTTCCCGGAGTTTATTGTACTGGCATCTCAAGGTCACCCCCAACGATGAGGCACCTGAGACACACTTGGACCACAGAGACCAAGTTCTAATACCGGCCACCAAGACCAAGTACCAATATCTTGTCACAACAATGGTTGGATAGGGTTATTTGCTCAAGCCATATTATTATAATTCTCTGCACCAATAATTTGGTCCATTACTGGAGCTGGGTAGGATGTATGTGGATTAAATATCAATCCATTACTCAAGTCAAACACCAAGTAAACAAAATGATGTCACTAAGCAAATCATGTATCTATGAGAAAAGATTAAACTTAACAACCTATATCTCTGAGGAAAGATTACAATATAGTACAAATATCTATTCAATTTTTTATGTATATACCATCTTGTCTGAGCAACTGCTAATCTTAATTTTCATTGCATTTCAGGCTTCTACTTGCACAAGACAAGAATGGAGTTGTTATATGTCCCCAAGCAAATCAGGAAAATGTCACCTTTGAGGAGAGGTCCGGCACTATATCGGTCAAACTTAGACCAGGTATGGGCAAAGCTTCAATGCCAGTAGTTAAGGATATTAAATTATTCATATTGTTGGGGGTATCATCAAATAGTACTCAAGACAAGTACTCAGAGCTCTTCATATTTTCACAACTCCCTGTATCTTTAGGTTGGGATGTATTAGCTTAAGTTAGGCACAATTAGGTTAGGTTTTAAAATCTGTGAACAATCTATAAAATGGGATTTGTGTCTTTTGGGTTAACGTGTCACTTCACTTAGCCACTTTACTTTCTGCCTGAAAGATGTTTAATGCTGACAGATTTTAAGGTTTTGAGCTTAGGTACAGTAATGATAATAGTTACCAGATATTAGCTGAACACATTTAAAATTACCAAATCAGGCTGCTGTAGATATCCGAGTCATAGGCATCTTAAGCTAAAAAATATATATATAAATGTTTGAAATATAGCAAATAGTATACTGTACTGGGATTCATATCTAGAAGTGTTAGCAATTAGAGATCTAATATATTCTTCAGTTTTCTTACCCTTGTTAGTCCCCATTTAGTTTATGTTGATCAAATTTTGGTCTTGGTATTATACAATAAAACATAATTTCACTTGAATATATATACAAAGAAGGATGACTTAATACTAGGAATTAGAAACTTTCCTTATGGAGAGAGATTAAGATAGCTTTATTTACATTCTGCAAATGAATGGAAGACTTTATCAGAGGGGATATTAAACTATGAGAACACAAAACAAGGAATATATAATAAGTAAGTTTGGATTCAGAAAATGCTGGTTTGGAATATGGTTATAGATTTTTGTATTGCATGGGGTAAAATGCCTTCTTCAAATTGCTCTACAATTATGATGTTAAAGGTACAGTATATGAAAACCTTTCCTTCAATGTATTTCCCCTATAGACAACTCCACAATACTTTAACTTTTGCTTCAGTCTTCCTGATTATTTTGTTACTCTTTATTTATGTCAGTTCTATAACTTATTTAATTTACTTAAAGATGGCCTCTTCCTGAAGCTTTCAGTGAATCATATACATTGTTTCAAAAGCAGCTACAGGAGTTGTAACCCAATAACTGATGGTATCCTAATACAGTTACTTCATATGAATACCCATTATTTTTTTAGGGTAGGAGCTGCTTCTAACAAGAAAACCTATTACTGGTAGCATTCAAGGGGTGGACTTGAGTTACCATTATTAGTAATGTGCTGGGATGGACCTAACATGATTAATCATAATTGTATTGAAATTGTTCTTAAATTTTTAGGTGGGACGAAATCTGTGCAGATCCTGATTAAAAACACAGGCGCAGAGCCAGTCATCTTGCGCCAGATAGAAATGCTTCATTCCTGCTCGTCGGTTTCATTAGAGGATCTTCATGGTGTTGTGCGCGGTGAAAGATTCGTCAGAGTTCTCTCGGGTAAATTTGATTTAAGAACTTGTGTTCTAAAATAAAATGTTTAACATTTTTCTCATTTGTTAATGTTTAATAAGTTATTCAGATGTTTCAGGAGTACAATTGTAGATTCTTCACACAAAATTTGTTAGGAATACTCCAAGTATTGAAAACAATGTTAGTTTCACAGGTACAATTAAATTACAGAAATGTGATATAACCAGAAAATTTTAATGCTTTGCAATGGCATTGAACCTGCATACCTGAATCCTCTCATACGGCTTCAATATTTTCTCATTAGTTTCACATCTCGCAATAAATAGGTACAAAAGATTCAGTGAGTAAATTCTTATGTGTTTTTCCATCACATTTTTGAGGTTTAAACAATAACATGCCTATCTATGCTTGTGTGCATTCATTTTAGGTATGGATTATGTATGTATTATATTTTTAAGTATAGAAAAATAATGTACATTTCTAAGCTCATGGTCTTTTTCTGGGGGGAAGCCTCTGGGTCTCACCCAGAAAATGACATTTCATTATATTCAATGCTGGTTTTATTTTAGGAGTAGAATATGTATACAGTATTTATAATACAGTATATATCTGAAGAGTAAACAAAAATAATTGTGTGCGATTATTTTAGGTGTGGAATATGGCCTGGAATGTCACGCACAAGCTGGAGGATCATTAGGGGTGTCACAAGTACCTGTTGCATTCCAGTTCAAACCTGAGCAAGCAAATGAGCTCTTTTTTATTGTGAGAACAATGGTGAGTTACATCATTTCTGCTGCATTTATTGTGAACATTTACGTAGATTAGAGAAAAGTTTGCTGGGAATGCTTTTTTATGTTTCATTTTGAAATGCTTGCAAGTATTGGATGGTGCATATTTCACATGTTGTGGTTGCATGGCATTAATTATCATTACCAAATTTCTTACTTTTATGGAATGGAAAGGCATCAAAATGGAGACAAAATCAAAAGAATATAGTGAAAGGCTATAACTGTTGCCTTTAGTGTGGAATAATTTTGGGAATATTAACTCCCTCCTTCCCCCACCTCCACCACTCCCATACCCACCCCTATTACATATGATGTGAGGCTGATTGAAACATGTTGACAGGAAGAGTACAACTACATATTTGTATTTTCACTGCCAATTAATGATCGTCAAAAGCACAACTTGAAATATAAGTACTGATTTCACTGTATTTGCCAGTACAACTTTAAATACATGTGCAGTGAATCAGTCATAATAAAGTGGCTGAAAGAAATAACTCGGTTCACACATCACAACTTGACAGGGTTTAGAATGGACTGAAATGTTGTCACTAATGTTGTGTAATTACCTAAGTGTAGTTACAGGAGGAGAGCTACGCTCGTGGTGTCCCGTCTTCTCAGCACTCTTTGTAATATAACACTTTGAAAGTACTGACAGTTTTGGCCTCTACCACCTGCTCACCTAACTTGTTCCAGCCGTCTACCACTCTTGTTTGTGAAAGTGAATTTTCAGATATTTCTTCGGCTGCTTTGTTTAGTTTAGATCTAGGACCTCTTGTTCTCGAAGTTCCAGGTCTTAGGAAGTCTTCCCTATCAATTTTATCGATTCCTGTTACTATCTTGTACTTAGTGAACATATCGCCTCTTTTTCTTCTATCTTCTAGTTTTGGCATATTTAAATAATGCCTCTAACCTCTTCTCGTAGCTCTTGTCCTTCAGTTCTGGGAGCCACTTAGTAGCATGTCTTTACACCTTTTCCATATTCCTGTACAGATTCCCGAGCTTACTGGGCTCTTATTATATCTACATATGAAACTGTGTATGGAGTCAGCCTCCACCATATCACTTCCTTATGCATTCCATCTGTTAACTACTCTTGACACTGAAAAAGTTCTTTATAATGTCCCTGCGGCTCATTTGGGTGCTCAGTTTCCACCTGTGTTCCCATGTTCGTGTACCACCTGTGTTAAACAGTTTATCCTTGTCTACCCTGTCAATTCCCCTGAGGATTTTATAGGTAGTGATCATGTCTCCCCTTACTCTTCTGTCTTCCAGTGTTGTGAGATGCATTTCCTGCAGCCTTTCTTTGTAACTCATGCCTCTTAGTTCTGGGACCTAGACCTAGCTTGTTTGGGTGGATGGAATGTCAAGGAATAGTAGCCAGCTCCGCTGACACACTGTTTTAGTATATTAGTGACGTCTGGTACTGGGCTTTGTCTACCCATTGATCTACTAATAATACTTTGCAGAACAATTATTAGCAGTCTTGATACTTACATGTATGGCACAATTTCTGTTTGCAGGGAGAATTTAGGTGGTGTGATTTATTCCCTTGTATTTCAGTGAGCCGGTACACACAAGATATGCAATGAGACCACTTGCAAAAAGCCCTGTCATGATGGGAATAAGTGTTGAAAGCCTGGTGTCTGATGTGAGTCATTCATAGACTATAGGGATTACAAGTAATATCCATGAAGCAGCATTTCAATATGCTTAACCACCTATTTTTGACCTAATCATTGTCTAACTTGGTAGTGGATGAGTAAAGTATTAAGAATGACTCATAAAGTAAATAGTGACATACACAAATTTATGGCAAGAAAACTAATTAACATTGGCACAGTTTAAAATAATTAGAAAATTAAGTTTTGGTGTTTCAGAATTCTGTGGTAATAGGGAGAGGAAAGCAAGTTTTTACAACAAGAGTAATGTGGGTAAGAGCGTTGCTGCTTCTGAACGAACACAGATATTCGGTGGTCTATGTCCTCAACTCACAATGGAAGATCCCAGATTTACATTCCTGACTACAGGCCTCCTGTCCCAGACAACATGAATTTTACTGTATTTATAATGTATTTAGAATCATTATTACGTACGGAAGTAGAAGAATTTTATAATGTTATAAAAAATATGACAGTAGAATGTTATTTATTTCTGTTGATTTTTTTATTGCTTTTCTCCCAGGAAATCAAAGTCTTGGATAGTGTGGCTGAAGAGTCTTCTGCTAACTCTGTCTATGAGAAACCACGCTCTAGTTACCCAGTGCGGCATGATTTTGGCTCATTTATTCCTGGAGTTCCTCTAAAACAGTGAGTTAAATTTGAATTAGTTTTAATATGAGGATGAAAGTCTAGAGAGCTTGGCAGGTAAAACTAGTCTTTCAGTAGACAATATAACAGCATCTTACGGTCATACTTTGATAACTTTTTGCAAAGTTTGAGTAGCATGTTTTATGTGGAGATTACCCCTTGCACAAATTTGAGTGCCATCTGTAAATGGACTTGATGAAGATTTTTTAGTGACAGCCTCCATGAATCTGGATTTACTTAAAAATAATGGAAAATTGACTAGGATAACTTGGTTATTAGGAAGTTTTTATTATATGGATGTCTGGACAATAAAAGTGGGTACTCTATTGACATTTTTCCAGGCATGCATTACTCATTGATAGTAAATATTAATTATCATGACCCCAATTCTCACTTTTAACACTTTCAGTGGACGGAGACTGAAATTGTGTCCATAATAACTTTACGGATGTCTGGCAGGGACGCGTGTTGCGTCCAAAATTAAAATATTTGTTAAAATTCCATTTATTGTTTGATTATTATTATTATAGGACTAGTTCTAAAATGCGCACCTTTCGATCGCGAACAATTTGGTATAAAAATGGACGACATAGCATGAATATTGAGTTGAGAAAACTGAAAAGAGTATATACATTTTATATATAGTATATACATTGTGGGTGCACGCTTACGGGAAACGCAGGCTGGAATTGGGGTGGGCTGGGGTGTACATGCCAGGGAGCGCAAAGTGTTAATTGGCTGGGGAAGAACTATCCCAGACAAAAATTGGGAGCTTCATGCTTTTAAAAATGCTTTAAAACTTTTATGTTCTGTTAACTCTATTGTCTGTAATTTAATATACAATGATTTGTCTTTTCATATGCTCTAAAATCTGTAATTCTACATTTTCTACCCATTTAGCAGCATCTTATGATAAACTGATATATAAAACAGTTGGTAAACATTTATATCAAATTTTGTTTTTTATTGTCAGAGATATGGATGATGATTTACCCAAGATTATTCCTCTGGAGCATTACGAGTACAAACCCAAGTTGCGTGTAATAGCTAGCAAAAACTTCAATCCAAATAAAGTTGATTCCAAGTATGAGGCTGAAACAAAAAAATATAGGTAAGTATTTTAGTTTTGTATGTGGCTATATAACTATTGATACTAAAGTACAGTATACATCTTTGTTGTCCTGTCTTATGTTTTATTATATATTATTATAAGTAATGGCAATGTCTTTTCACCGACATAATAACATAGGATAAAAGCCCACACTTGTGTGTTTGTGAAATTGATGTAAAGAATTTACTGAATTGAATACTTACAAGTAAAGCTTTATATATTTTAGGATTATTGATAAGATTATTGACAACGTTTTAGGATTATTGACAAGAGTACGGTTAGGTAACATGGAATGGCTTCACTGTAACACTGTTCAAACTGGTTTAGTTTGAACCAGTGGTGCAAACATATTTCAAAACCAGTAGTTCAAATGTAACCACTGGTTACGTTTGGTTAACGTTTTGAACCACTGGTTCAAAAGTAAAGTTTAATGTATTTCAAACTTTTGTTTGATATTTGTTAAAATTAAAATATTTGTTAAATGAAATAATAAAATTTGTTAATAGTTGGTAAAGTATCCTCACAAGATAAAGAGGTTGCTCTGTAATGGTTGTATTCCATGTTAGTGTACTTGATTACTATTTAATGGTTTTCAGGGACATGATGAAAGCTGGCTTGAATGCAAAAAATTATGTGGACTGGTTTCAAACTATGCTGTGGGTTGAGGAGATGCAAATGGAGATAGACATTCGCTACTACAGCATGCCTGAGGCAAGGCTGAGGAAAGTCCCTCTTACAGTCTACTCTGCTGCATCATGTGTGGAACTTGAGGTAAGTGAGCTGAAATCTGTAATTACAGGTGTACCATGCAAGTATTTCCAAAACTGCATCTGTAACCTGTGAGATGTGATTTTGAATCCTAATAAAAAGGTTTGTTTGGCAATACTTGTTGGTTATACATTATGAGGAGGATCTTATGTACAAGAGATTTGTACCACCATTATAATTTAATGTACTGAAGCATAATATTTGCACAGCATATTTAAGGGGCCGGGAGACTGATTTCTCAACCTTCCTCAAACACACTCAAACTTTTTGTGCATAATCTACATGGTAAATGCTCCAACTTTTAATAGTGGTTCGATATCAACATGAACTAAAAATTTCACAATTTCAAATTAAGCTGATGAATTTAATATTTCACAAATATTTATTTTATTAATTATAGGCTGAGAATGGTAAATAACATTCATTTTCCTCAATTTAAAATTGAGTTTGAGAGTATAGCTACTGTAAAAACAAAACAGTCACTGTGGCCTTCAAAATATGTGCAAAATTTAGATGCAAAAATTTATAACTCGTAAAGTTATAGGTTTATGAATAAACACAACTGAAGAAACCTTAGAACTAAGGACTTTACACATATTATGTAAAACTGGTGAGAATCAGAAACTGAATTTAACAGCTTGACTCAAAGTTGAAAATCCTGTTCATGGAGAAAAATTAATGTAAACGTCTCGACAATAAATATAGTAGTTCGAATTTGTTATATCATGTAAATTTTAATAAATATTACTTGGCATTCGTACTCGAATATGTGAAAGTTGTAGGCCAATATGTGTTGAAATAAAGTTAAGAAAAAATAATCCCCTACAAAAACAAATACTGTATAGCAATAAGGATAATGGGTTAATAAGGCTAATAAGTATACTTTAAATAAGTGATAAGGCCTGCATCTGGTCCCAATCTTCAATACAACTTAAAGAAATAAAGAGAATAGTTTCAAATCTGTAAATTTTTTGTTTAAAAAAAAAGTTACAATTTCTGCCACTTGTAACTGGTTAACTTGTTGACCAATTTCGTTCACCCGGGGTTCAGTTACGGCTCTTCGCCGTTGCCTGCGTGCCGTGCCGTGTATGGCCGTAGACGTGCTTTGGGTTTCCCGGGTTCCTTCTTCCCTGTTCCGGGGTTCGGGTCTCCTGGGTCATCCACAGGGTCCTTCGGTATTGCCGGTTGTTTTGCTTTTGGTTAGGGCACGTGGCGTCCGCCTCCCGGGTTTCTCTCTTTTCCTTATCTTTGGGTAGTTAGTTCTGGGGAGCCGACGGGGCTCCCCCCAGAAAACCAGCATTTAATGTAATGAAATGCCATTTTCTGGGTGTGTCCTGGAGACTCCCCGGCATCCCTCCTTTCCTCCGGTTGGCAGCATTTTTCGCGTGTTTTGATATCCAGCCTAAGAACTGAACAGCCTAAGGCCTCTCTGAGGAGGCCAGGTTCTGGCTCGTGGTCCCCAGTAGGCAAGAACTCCATGCTCATTGACTGATGCCAGAATATAATATATCCATATCTGCCTGGATAGCTCCGGGAAGCCTCCGGGACTCATCCAGAAAATGGCATTTCATGACATTCAATACTGATTTATTTTAGTTTTCCCGTGATCAGAGACTGCATTTTAACAATATAAGAAGAGAAAATAATTTTTTTGCAGATAAATTATTTTTGTTGCACAGCGGAATGTCATACTTTAAGGCTGTGCAGCACGGTGGTTAATTTCATGTGCACAAGTAAGCATCTCAGTAAAATAATTCCTAATACAGTATTTTCTGGTGGATAAGATGCATTGTTATAACATTAGGTTTAAGCTCAATATCATAGCGTATAAAGCAAAAGAATATGGTAATAGGGGAACTGCACTTTAAAATTACTTATAATAAATGTATAATAAACTTACTAAATTATTTTTTCTGCAAAATATCAGTGTAAAACAGAGGTGTCTCTTAAGTGGAATTGTGTAATTACCTAAGTGTAATTACCTAAGTGTAGTTACAGGATGAGAGCTACGCTCGTGGTGTCCCGTCTTCCCAGCACTCTTTGTCATATAACGCTTTGAAACTACTGACGGTCTTGGCCTCCACCACCTTCTCACTTAACTTGTTCCAACCGTCTACCACTCTATTTGCGAAAGTGAATTTTCTTTTATTTCTTCGGCATCTGTGTTTAGCTAGTTTATATCTGACCTCTTGTTCTTAAAGTTCCAGGTCTCACGAAATCTTCCCTATCGATTTTATCAATTCCTGTTACTATTTTGTATGTAGTGATCATATCACCTCTTTTTCTTCTGTCTTCCAGTTTTGGCATATTTAATGCCTCTAACCTCTCTTCGTAGCTCTTGCCCTTCAGTTCTGGGGGCCACTTAGTAGCATGTCTTGGCACCTTTTCCAGTTTGTTGATGTGCTTCTTAAGATATGGGCACCACACAACCGCTGCATATTCTAGCTTTGGCCTAACAAAAGTTGTGAACAATTTCTTTAGTATATCGCCATCCATGTATTTAAAAGCAATTCTGAAGTTAGAAAGCGTGGCATAGGCTCCTTGCACAATATTCTTTATGTGGTCCTCTGGTGATAGTTTTCTATCTAGAACCACCCCTAGATCTCTTTCTTTATCAGAATTCTTTAAAGATTTCTCACATAATATATAGGTTGTGTGGGGTCTATGTTCTCCTATTCCACATTCCATAACATGGCATTTATTAACATTAAATTTCATTTGCCAAGTGGTGCTCCATATACTTATTTTGTCCAGGTCATCTTGAAGGGCATGACAATCATCTAAGTTTCTTGAACAAATCCACAAGGGCAGTGACGAGGATTCGAACCTGCGTCTGGGAGCATCCCAGACACTGCCTTAGTCGACTCAGCTACGACAGGGTAAAAAGGGTTGAAACCGAAGTTCTACTGAACTTACTGGATCCCGTAGCCTCTCTGAGGCACAAACCAGGCTTTTACACAACCCCCTCCTCCCTGCACCCGAGCTATGTCAATAGGCCGTTCTCCCTCTTCGCCCTTATATCATCACACACAGAGATGCCCTTGTGGATTTGTTTATTTGATGTATCACGTTAGTGTGATCTCTGTGTGTGATCTAAGTTTCTTATCCTTCCTATTATCTTAGCATCATCAGCAAACATGTTCATATAATTCTGTATACCAACTGGTGGATCATTTATGTAGACAATAAACATCACTGGTGCAAGAACTGAACCCTGTGTGCTATACTTCTGAAAACACAGTAATTAGGAGGTATTTAGTGTGACATTTAAATTTGGATCTAATCTCTGGCAATTTCATGTGTGTTAAATGAGTCGGCACCCAGTCTGTTAGTTCTCAATAATATTTGAGTTTAAAGAGAATAAGAGGATTGTACTAATCTAACATTTGAGTATCACTTGCTAATTTTTACTCCCCTTGTGTTCATATTAAATATGTATGTAAAAGAGGGATTTTTATTGCTATACAAACATTGTTTTGTCTCCAGGGAGATGCCTGCCTCATTAGCGGCTGAAATCTAAACATATGTATTACTTCTGGGTATCTAATAATAAGTTTTAAATTAATATTTTCCATTGGAAATATTATGCTTAGTGGCATGTATAATTTAATTTCCCATATTAGAACTTAAATGTATCAAATAATTAAATATATTTTAGTTGATAATCCTATTCCTGCAGTTCTACTGCATTGTGAAGTTTTCATCAAGATCTTTTCATGTCATGAAAAGGTCACGTAGACCTTGTTTTATAAAGTCTTTAGTGCCATTATTGCATTTGGTACTTTTCTGGTGAATTTCTTCAGTGGCTCCAGGGAACTATTGAGGGGACCCGCCAGAAAGAAGTGTTTCATTAGTCGATGCTGGATCTTTGTAATTTTTTCCAGCAGATTGTATTTTCAATTTTAATTAATGCTCCAGATCTGAAACTGCACATTTGTATTTAATTTCATTTTTTCGCTTTAGGTTCCTGGCCTTTCAGAAAACCGTCCATCTGTCCTACCTGGTGATAGTGTATTTGTTACAATTGGGAAAAAGAAACCTGTGTATGAAGGCCGTGTCCACAAGATCAATGACAAATCGATCTACTTGGCCTTCAGTCAACGGTATGACTTGTTGTGATTTACTCTTTATGGTTAGTAGTGTAGAGCAGGGCACTAGGTATCCCATCTTCATTATGTGTCCCTAGTAGGAGTTTTTATTTTTTATTTTTTGGCTTCGCAGCTACTTTGCGTACCTGATAATTAATACATAAATATCCGTATCTAGCGATTATGAGACTTACTTTCCTACTTGCTTGGCAATTCTCTAAAAAGCCTGCGTGATCAACTTGTCACATGCTTTGGAACAGCAGTTGCCAACCTTTTGGACGTCACAAACAACTAAATTCATAATTTTTAATTCCGCGGACCACTAATTTAAATCCTGCAGACCGCTAATAAGGACTTGTCTCCAACAGTCATTTTTGTTAAAGTAATTACCAGTACTTTTGCATATTTTCATGCATTTTTTGAAAATATTCAAGTGATTTCCTAGCAAATTGGGGTGTTTTGATTGCAAGTGTCTTTTGATTTTCGAAGGTTTCATGGCATCATTGGATAAACTCTCAGTACACACAACACAAAGCGGCCGTAGATGTAGTTCACTACAGGTTCTTGAATAAATTCAAATTTCAAGTAGTTCGAATCGAAGTTTCAGCCCCGCTCCTGTGCCAGGTAAGTCCGTCACGGGCTCACCATAGCCTGTGCTACTTGGAACTTTTAGTTCCCAGTAGCTGAATCTTAAACAACAACATAGTTCGAATCACATTGTCTTGACATTTTGAGTGTTTACTTCTCTCCGCCTCCAGTTCAAATGTTCTTCCTAATGGTGCCTGACGAGGACCGTGAAGGCTCTGAATTTTTTATTAGCTCACGGTTAAGTAAAGTGCACATATTACTATTGTTACTATTATCATTAGTTACATTATCTTTTGTAGTACTAAAGAAATTCAGAATATTTCTTTGCTTTTTTAACTCATGGGTTTATTGCATTTGAATCTGAAACCAATCAAGAAATGATTGTTATTAAAGTCAAATTTGATGGCATTAAATATAACAGTTAAAGAAAATACACAGTTATATACAATACACAAATAAAATAAAACATCAGAATATAAAAATGTCTTAGAATATTATTTTTATTTTATTATTAAGAAAGCATAAAAAATGCAAATACAGTATTGTCCAAATTTTTCTGTGGACTGCCTTGAACTGCTTTGGAAGACTCGAGAAACAGTAAGATGCAAAGCTTCCTTGTGAGTTGTAGTACTGACTTATTTCTACCACCAAGAAACTACATATTGTGACAGAATAACCTGTTTTGCATGCAAGATGAAAATCAGATACCTAGTTTGTCAGCTAGACAGAGTATATAATCAAATGTTTTGTTTAATAGCGTGTTTAGGGCAATGGCTATATTGCTATCAGACATAGATGCTAGGTAGTTCTTTGGAGTGTAAATGAGTACAGAGGTGTTTACGAGAGATAGTGATGTACTATAGACATGCAGGGTTAGCACCCAGTGTTTAAGGTTGTCTGATTAGATGTTATGGTAGACCTCTTAGCTCCCAGTTTTGTTTTATCAGCTATTATAGTGCAAGATGTAAACAGGTCTCATTTAACAGCTGTAATTAGTTTGTCTCAAATGTGTTGTATATAATTATGTTGTACAGTGTTGAATATTTGTCTTTGTGAACAATATATGTATAAAAATTGTATCTTAAAATCTAATATTATGTGTAAGGAGCTGGGAATGCTTCCTGTCAGTATACCATCACTTGGCTATGAGTATATACTTATTTTACAGGTTCATGGAAATTTTTGTGGATAAGATGAAAGTGAATGTTGAATTTGAATTTAATCGTTATCCACTGAGAGTGTGCCACCGAGCGCTGGTTCTCACTGGACAAAGATCTTCAACATACTTGACCTTCCCCTCTCCTCCAACTAATAATGTTCAATTGATAGAGGATATCCTGTAAGTATAATAGCTTTCTCTTCTGGGTCCCGAACCTCATTCTTTTTCAGGTTAGGCCTTCTCTTTCACTAACCTTAGTATTGAAGGCCAGCATCCTCTCACTAACCCGTGACCAGTCTTCCTCTCTTGCCAACCTCCTCCTTACCCACTGTAGGCCTCCATCTACCAATAGTGAAGAAGTTGTGCAGCAGAGAGGATACTTTTACCATATCTACTACAAAGCACCACTACCACCATATCCCTCTTACTACCAAATTCCTCCAGTACCACCATATTTCTCCATTACCACCACCATATTTCTCCATTACCACCACCATATTTCTCCACTACAACCACCACCATATTCCTCCACTACAACCACCACCATATTCCTCCACTACAACCACCACCATATTCCTCCACTACAACCACCACCATATTCCTCCACTACAACCACCACCATATTCCTCCACTACAACCACCACCATATTCCTCCACTACAACCACCACCATATTCCTCCACTACAACCACCACCATATTCCTCCACTACAACCACCACCATATTCCTCCACTACAACCACCACCATATTCCTCCACTACAACCACCACCATATTCCTCCATTACAGCCACCATATTCCTCCATTACAGCCACCACCATGTTCCATCACTACAATAACCATAGTTAGTTTATGGGGCCTGACAGCTGAGTAGACAGTGCTTTGGATTTGTAGTCCTCAGGTTTTGGGTTCGATCCCCGGTGGATGATGAAACAAATTGCCAGAGTTTCTTCACCCGGATGCCCCTGTTACCTAGCAGTAAATAGGTACCTGGGAGTTAGACAGCTGCTACGGGCTGCTTCCTGGGGATGTATAACAAAAAGGAGGCCTGGTCGAGGACCGGGCCGCAGGGGACGCTAAGCCCCGAAATCATCCCAAGGTACTGTAACCTCAAGGTAACCATATCCCTCCATACCACCACAATATTCCTCCACTACCATCAGAAGCTTTATTGCAATGGGTACAGCAAGGCTATGGTAGAATGCAGGGCATGAAGAGCTAGACCTCACTTCCCCAAAGTTACTGATAGGTAAGTACCATATCACTTCACTACCACCACCACAACATCCACAGCACCAGTTCCACATACCACTACTGTCAACTATTGTATCATTGGCTATCATTGCACCATATTGTATCATTGGCTATCATTGCACCATATTGTATCATTGGCTATCATTGCACCATATTGATGATGTCCTGACTTTGCTGCCTCTCAGTATTCCACCAATATAAAGATGTTATTACAGTTGTTACTACTGTATCCCACCTGTTTTATATTCACATTCATAAGCTAAAAAATCATGTAACAGTAGTTGAGCCTTTGATTAATGTCTCCTCTTAAATTTAATGATTTAATGCATTACCTTGCGTTAATTCTGGGGGATCAAAGTCCCTATGGCTTGGTCTCTGACCAGCCTTCATTGGCATATCTTTTACAACTTTTATGATCATTCTCTAGTTATTGTTAGTGGTATAAAACCAAATTTCTGGTTATTTCTTCCTTGTAGGCCATACAACCGTAAGCTACAGACCAACAAGGAGCAAATGCTAGCAGTGTGTAGCATCGTCTCGGGGACATCGAAGCCAGCCCCGTATATAGTGTTTGGCCCCCCGGGTACCGGAAAGACCGTTACTATTGTAGAAGCCATTAAACAGGTAAATACAGACATGTTTGGTGATTTATGTGTCAGTTAAGATGAAAATAATGTAAACAAACTTTCTTCTGCAATGCAGTTTGTGCACAATATTTACAAATTACATCATCAAAGACATTCTTGTTTATCCTTGTACTGTAACATCAGGTTTGCATGCCACCACTGGCATCAGTAGTGAGACCCCTTGTGATCAGTACAACATTCTCTAGAAGGATGAAATGTAGGGAATGACATGATTGATGCATATAGATGGATGATGGGATAGAAATAAGGTTTTAAATATAAAGTTTAAAAATAGAACTTGAAGCATTGGATATACTGTACTGTAAATTGGGGAAGTTTAGATACCGGAAAGGCGTGGGATTGCTGTATTGTTTAACCACTGTACTGCACAGGTATAAAATGTAACATGCCCTGTATGTGCAGACAAAATTATTCCAATATTATACCCTCTAGTTTGGATCTTGTGTGTGTTATGCACCTGTTGTAAAACTTACCCAAAAGTTAGATGAATAAAATATTAGTTTATTTATCACTGATGACAATGTTGTTTTGACTGTAGATCATATATTTATCAGTCAAGCATTTTTCCATTAAATTGATTGTCTTGGGTCGTGTAGTACAGTGGTCTATGTCCACAACTCTCAGTCTTTGGTCCCGAGTTCTATTCTCAGGTGAATAGAAACAGTTGAGCACTCTTTCTTTAATCTGATGCCTCTGTTCACCTAGCAATAAAATAGGTAGGCTTAAGTCAGACAATTGTTGTGGGTTGCATCCCTGGGAAGGTCAGTAGTAGACCTAGGGTGGGGAAAGGGGGAGCCTCGGTAAGTTTTAACCCTTGTATGGCGCCAGGCTATTTAACATTTGTCACCCACAGGCGCATAAAAAAAAAAAAAAAAAATTCTAAACCTGTTAATTTGTGTTCACTGATCATGGGAAAAATAATAAAAAAATCGTAAGTGGCATATATTGCCCGCTATAGGGTGGGGAATTCTGGCAAAAACCAGGCGCTGACTCGGCGTGCGTCCCAGACGGTCTGTTGCTCCTAGCTGTCAGGCAGGAGTGGCCACAAAGAGATAATTACCTAATTATTTCAATGTTTCTGATTGGTTTTTTCGTAGTTTTTTTGCTGTAATATTATTCAATAGTGTGTAGTTTGATATATTTATATAATAAAATGAGTGAATCATCGCTGTACCATCGCCATCACTGTACTAAAAAATATGGTGTGCATATTGTTGATTCAATTATTATGTTCATCAAACGGTGAACAAATACTTTGTTGGTTATTACACTATATACACAGGTTACATATAAGTATCTGCATGTTTTGTTCACCATAACGAACCACTAAGTTGCTATTATGAGTCAAAAAGTAGCGAGGAGTGACCGCCACACACCACCCAGCCACTCGCTGCCACTCACTCCCTCAACACCTCACTCGCCCACACTCTCCTCCCACCATACTATTTTTGCTTTTATATACAGACATTATATATAAGTATTTACATGTTTTGTTCACCATAACTGCACATCTAAGCTTGTATGGTGAGTAAATGCGCAAAGACGTAGCTACTCACACAGTCAGCTGGTGGCGACCGCCCTCAAGGCCAGACGCACTGATATTTCTCCTCCAACAATACTGTTTGTGGTGTTATTATGCTATACATACACATTATATAAAAGTATCTACCTGTTTTATTCACCATACTTGTACAAGTAAGTTGGTATGGTGCCCAAAGACCATAGTGGTCACCAGTAAACATGATAAGTTGTGCAGATGACGCCACCTCCCTCACCAAAATGGCGGCTCCCAACCTACTCCTATTGCTATTATTACACTCTATACACACATTATATATAAGTATCTACATTTGTGTTCACCATAGCGAACCACTAAGCTGGTATGGTGAGTGCAGTCAATAAAAGGTGGCCACACACAGTCAGAAGACAACGTCAGCACCCTCCCTCCCACAGCCCTCCTCCCTCCATGGAGCACAGTGCTAAATATTACCACAATCTTGCTGTTATCAGAACCCTGGTCAGTTTTATCACAGTCATGGGTCTTCTGTAATAATATCATCGCTAAATAATAGCAAGAACATGTATATTATGGCATTTTTAGGCGATGCTGTGGTCACAAGCTGAACAGCAGTGCTGTGAGCTCATGTTGCGTGCGTCAGGTTTGGTAGCTCACTCAATACTGAGGCCCCTCACACCCGGAAATTTGGCCCACGATTTTAAAAAAAATTGCATCTGCTTACAAGAGCCCTGATAAAGGTGTGGTGAACCCTGTGTATCCTCGGGCCGTTTAAACCTTGCACGGTACTCCAAAACATCATATGATGCGGAGCGCAAGTTACTGCAAGCCAGTCAACGCATCATATGATGTCTTGCGCAACTAGAGGGTTAAGTACAAGATTCTTGTTCTCGACACAGGAATTATTTCTAAATATAAGGAAACATGAGAAGGATTACTCTTGTCAGTCACCCTTGGTGATCACCCAGCATCCTTGCTGGCACTTAAAATCTCTCTTCTCTAGCCATATACTATGACTGTACTGTCTGGGACAACTGGTGGCATTACAAATTCCTATGTGATCCCATGTTGTAATTTAATAACTAATTAGTGGGTTGTTTTAGAATGTATATTAATGTCATATCTCATCTGCTGCCTTGTCTCTACTTCAACAAATAGCTGGTGAGTATAGTTAATTATCTTAATTATCAAGCCCTTGTTAATTTTAATAAAGATATCCAAACCAAATCCCAACTTTTACTGTATTATGATTTTGTTATGTATAGTTTTACCTATCTTGTATATACCCTTTTGTTAATCAGTCCCTTATAATTCATCCTTGCTAGCCTTTGTACAAGAGTATAGTTTTTAAAGTAGGGGAATATTAATTTGTTATTATATACATTACTGGGGTAATGTTGCAGGTGTACAAGATGCAGCCACTCAGTAGGGTGTTAGCATGTGCTCCCTCTAATTCAGCTGCAGATCTCATTGCTGTACGGCTTCTAGAACACATTAACAAGACTCACTTGCTGAGAATGCATGCAAAGTCTAGACAAAGGTATGTACTGTATTTATTAAATATTTATACTTCCACTACTATATTATCAGGTTAACAAGTTTGGGTTGCTAAGTCTTTCTTCTGTATGACCAAATTGTTTGTCTTCACAAGGATAACATTTTGTTATATTGTTATTCTGCATTTATTCCATGTGATTTCTTTAACACTTTCACATATTGACAAAATATGTTAATGTTTGTGTAACTTTTGTGTAACTGTATGCTCTGTAGTACAGTGGTCTACGTCCTTGACTCGCAATCAAGGACCCCGGGTTTGATACCTGGTTGGGTACACTTACCTAGTAGTAAAATACGCACCTGGGACTTAGGCAGTTGGTGTGTGTATAATGTATACAGTATATTGGGCTGGTTGTAGACCAAAATCTTGGATCCTATTCACCAACAAATATTATGCCTTGTGTATAATGATGCTGTTATGCCCCCTATAGATGCACATTTTTTTTTTTCTTTCCAGTATTACAATTCCGGATAAACTTCTAGAAATATCTAACCTGAGAAATCATGAAGTATTCTACCCTTCAGGAGAAGTGTTGGAAGAATATAGAGTTATTGTGTGCACAATGGTAACTGCTGCCAGGTAGGTGAAATGTGGATGATAGAAGTGTTCTTGTGGGATATTTGTTGCCAGGAGTAATCAAGCATTTACATGTCTATGCAGGCGATGAGACACAATAACGTGACTAAAGTAAGTTGACCAGACCACACACTAGAAGGTGAAGGGACAACGACGTTTTGGTCCGTCCTGGACCATTCTCATCGACTTGAGAATGGTCCAGGACGGACCGAAACGTCATCGTCCCTTCACCTTCTAGTGTGTGGTCTGGTCAATTTACATGTCTATTTATGAAACCTGTGCATCTTTCGTGTGTAACATACGAGACCTGTACGTCTTTCCTCGATCGTGGCTGCTTAGCATTTATTAAAAATTTATGAGCTGCAGAATGCTATGAAGTTGTCTAACAATATTTACTGTGGTTTACTAAGACTTGAAGGTTGTAAGTTGTTTAATAATTTCAGAGTAAACCACCATGATCAAGGACAGATGTACAGGTTTTGTAAGTGGACATGTTAATGTGTGATGGATCTTGGACCAGTTGGGCATGCTGGCAGTGGGTGCTAATTGCTGTGTAGCTGATGTAATGGGTTATTAATCAGTGTTATTTGTTAAATAATTACTTTTTGCATAAAGGTACTGCCTTTGGTTAAATGCATCAGTTATTGACTCGTCATTTACAGAAATTATAGGCATTTAATATAATGGAGTAACACTAGGCATAATTTTTCAGGCTAAGTCATCTGGTAAGTCATTGTAACTTATATGCAAATTTATGATCAAATAACAAACATTTGAAATTAATTATAGGTCATTGTTAATGGCAATTTTAATTTGTCAATGTCAAAATGGTGGGAGTCGCACTACGAGCTTGTAATAACTCAACCGTACTTCAAGTAAAAATAACTATTTCGGTCTGTCTCGAACCCTTATCAAGTGGTCACGATTTTCCAGTGCCAGTCTGATTGGCTTTTGTTTCAGCCATGTTACTGTGACTATTACTACAAATGTGTGTGTAATATGTGTTGAGGATAAGTTGTTGAACATTCTGGTTGCTTGAAGTGGTTGACAGGCCTACTTGGTATGTACATTTTTAGATTTAATTTTAGCTAGTTTCACTAATTTTAGCTTTAATTCACTTTAAAATTTGGTAATAAAATCAACCATAGTAGTAGGTATCCTGAAGTCTCGGGAGACTATGGAGTTGCGCTCTCGTTGTCAACCAGAGCGGATATCAACCATAGTTTATGAAAATACTGTGTTCGTCCTGATTTAAAAAATGCAAATTTGTTCTATGTGTTGAGTTTTTCACTGAATTTGGAATGCTGTACTGAAAAACATGATATGGACAATATTGTACTTTAATATAGTTCAGTATAAGAAGGTACATAGATTTTCATAAGGTTTTTATGTGCCTCTGTAGTACGTGCAGTCATATATATCTACTAGATGTAGATCAAGCCTCAGGTTTGTCAAGCCTGGCCTCGGGCCGGGCTTGGGGAGTAGAAGAACTCCCAGATCCCCATCAAGCAGGTATCAAGCAGATAGTGAAATAATTAAATACAGTAAGGAGAAAACATTGAAGACATACAATGGGATTACACCCACATCCCTGAGCTCGCCACGCACATGCATTGCCGCCTGGAGCAGGGTGTGCGCCTGAGTTCAGGAATATGGGTTCGATTCCATTATACGGTTTCAATATTTTCTCGGATACATCCTGTTCTTGTGATTTAAATTTAAATAAAGTAAGAAGTGGCCTAATGTTAACAAAAGTGACTAATTAGACATTACAACAAAATAAACAATATAGAGTAGAATATATTTTGTTTATGCAAAAAAAAAAAGGTAAAGAAACCTTTATCTTGAATGCACTTATGAAGTTTTGTTGCTTTACTATTTTATATATATTTTCAGGATTGTGTCTGCAGCTCTTAAAGCTGGTCACATAACCCATGTTTTCCTTGATGAATGTGGACACTCCATGGAACCTGAAGCAATGGTGCCACTGGCAGGAGTGTTGGCTAAAGACGGCCAGGTGGTGCTGGCTGGAGACCCCTACCAGCTGGGGCCAGTGATAAGAAATACACAATGTTTCTCTAGTGAGAAACTCTTCACAAATAATGGCTTGGGTAAGTGTTATGGCCGATTGTTTTCCTGGCAATATTTCTGTTTTGTATATTGTTGTTGATTGTTTACCTGGCAGTACTTCTATTTTGTATTGCTGTTGATTGTTTACTTGGCAATACTTCTCTTTTGTATTGCTGTTGACTGTTTAATACAGCAGTACTTTACCTGGCAATACTTCTGTTTTGTATTGCTGTTGATTGCTTACCTGGCAGTACTGTACTTCAATTTTGTGTCTGTTTATTATTACAATAGGTGCTGTTGGTTTTGTTTTGTCCTGATTTTTGTATATTTATTCCTAGATATCTTCAGATTTGAAACACTTTCACTTTAAAAGAATGACAAACTTAAGCCTAGGAATGGGGGGGGCATCTTCGACAAGCTGCCGTCTTCCTGTCCTTGTCGAGGCCACTAGGGTTAGTAGCCCTTGGGTAAAAATCTGAATGATGAAGAGTTTTAGAAAAGCTTAATTTACATTCTGTAGAAAGACAAAAGAGTTAAGAGGTAACAGGATTTTAAGTATACCTATGAAAAAGAGGGTAGACCAAAGGGGATATACGGTAAATAGTTTTAAATATATCAACACAAAAAGAATGGATATAAATTAGATCAGTTTTGATTTAGCAAGGACCTGGGTAAATACTGGTTTAGGAATACAGTAGTTGTGTATGTGTGGAATAAACTACCAAGTAACATTGGTGTAACATTGGTGAATTGTTTCAAGTGAAGGTTAGACATGCAGGTAAAGGAGCGGGAGTTTGTAGGGATGGGAGTGTTGCCTTCCCTAACATACTGGTGAGACATCTTTCACTTTAGTTAGTGCTGTTCTCTGCCAAGGTTGGCATTGTAGCATTAGTCAAAGTTTGATGGCCATTTGACACTGGTGTGGAATTGTAAATGCTAATGGTAATAATTTATTACAGTATTTAGCATAAAGAAATTTCCTTAAATTAAAAAATGTGAAAATCATGCTTGATTTGACAGAAGTTAAGTGTAGTATTTTTTTTTTTTTTTTGCAGAGCTTATCCACCTGTTCCGTAGTTTGGATTGTAGCTGAATTTAGCTGTGGGATTGTAGATGGATCAGTACATTATCATTATCTCCTAATATTCTTGCATTATCACCATCTTACAGACAAGTCATACTTGGAGAGAATGATGGAAATGGACATGTATCAGGCCAAAAATGGGACGTTCAATAATCAGGTCGTGACCAAGCTGCTCAACAACTACCGCTCTCATAAGGATATTCTTAAGGAGCCTAATGAGTTATTCTACAAATCAGAATTGAAGGTAATTGTATTATTAAATGTATTACTTGCATATTGAAGTTACTGATGATTTCTGTGATGAATCAAGGAGAAAATATTGAGGCTGTATGATGAGATGGAACCTGCATACCTGAACTCTCTGTAGCGTGTGTGCCTGGAGAGTTCAGGTGTGCGAGTTCAGTCATATCATACAACTACTGTACCATATTTTCATAATGTATTATTTGCTTTATTTTATAGTATCTTCTCAATAGATTAACCTCATTTACCAAAACAAACTCACATACACACACTGAGCAGATAAGAGACACTACAAGATTTAAATATATAAATTTGAAACATCTTAAGATAACTGATACAGATGGGAGTAATTTAGATTTAGGAGAAACTTGGGTAGACACTGGTCTACCCAAGGGTAGAAAAATAAATCCTCTGGTCTACCCAAGGGATTTATGGAAAAATAACTAGGTAGCATAATCAAGCATAGGTTAGACACACACACACACACACACACACACACACACACACACACACACACACACACACGCACACGCACACGCACACGCACACGCACACACGCACACGCACACTTGAACGCGTTTCATAATAACTTATTACATTTTCAAAGACTTTAGTTTACACACACACAACTATAACTAAACAAGAGTTTAAACAGCTTCGATTTTATACCTGCATTTGGGTGAGGTTTGCACCTCAGCACCGAAACTGGAGAAATTTTGGAGAAATGATTTTTCAGTTACCATCAACAGTAAAAAGAAATATAAGAAACATTGAGAAAATTCGTGTTAGAATTATTAATCTTACTTTTTCGGTCATATTTAATGATAAATATATATACAGTATATATATATATATGTATGTGTGTATGTATGTATGTATGTATGAATGTATGTATGTATATATGTATGTATGAGAGATTCAAACCTATGTCCGGGAGCATCCCAGACGCTGCCTTAATCGACTGGGCTACCACATGGCCAAAAAAGTTGAAACTGAAGTTCTACTGAACTTACTGGATCCTGCAGCCTCTCCGAGACAAAAACCAGGGTTTTACTCAGCTACAGTTAACGTGAATGGTGTTACTTTTTTAGTTCAATACTTGCATATCATTGAGGGAAAGAAGGAATTTTTTGAGCATTAGAATCTATTCATATGTTTCTTGTATGTTGTAATGTTAAACTTAAGTGGATTAGCTACATACATGGTTTTCTAAGAGGCTCTGCCTATCTTGTGGTGTGTTTAATTTTTGTTCTTGAATACCATCCTTTCATGTTATTTATTTTTGTTAAGCTTTATTTACTATTTTTAGTTGTTGCACATGTTAAAAATAATTTTGTTGAATATTTAAACCTGCTGAATTAATGCTTAGTTGATTTTTTCTACAGCCATGTTCAGACCAGGTGTTGGTGAATTCTCTCTGTAACTGGGAGCATCTTCCAAAGAAAAAGTTTCCCCTCATCTTCCATGCAGTTAAAGGCAAAGATGAACGAGAAGGAAATTCTCCCAGCTACTTCAATTCTCTTGAGGTTTGTTCGCATGTCTAACGCGCATGCATAAAAATATGTATAGCTTTCACAGTCAAATTACTAGAAAATGATGAATCAATGAGAAAATATTGAGGGATTGTTCAATGGGATTGATACATCATCCCTATTCACACCTTTATGTTTGTCATTTTTGACTGTAAATGCTGCTATCCTTTCTTGCAGCTCTGCACCATTACAGTACACTATTTGAAATTGCATTTCAAATACTAGGGCTAATCTAGCAATTGTGACTGTTGATCTAATCTCACACACATTCTTCTGGGTCAACTCTCTTGTACCTGTACCTACTTCTACTGTCCTGGTTTTTCAGAGCTGCCAGATGCATTTCTCAGAAAGGAGCTTATCATCTACATTCTAAGCTTTACTTCTAATGCTGCTATTAGTATGATTTTCTCTATTTTAAATACAGTATACTGCATACTCACTCCAATGAGCCCCGCTCTAACGAATTCCCGGATGGTCTAAACAAATTACATTCAGTACTTAATATTCAATGGAACATACAAATGTTTTATTAAGCGAGGATTGTTCGTCCGAGCCGTCACCCAAAAAAGTTCATGTTCTGTACTATTGGAATTATAAAGAGCATAACAAAAAAGTGGAATATACTATCCACACAGATAACCTAAGAAATCCTAGGTCTAATAAATGCATAATTTAGTACATATACTTAACACGGCCTAGGAAAAGTTAGGTTTGGTTGTTATCTTTTTCATTGAATCCTCTACCAAATTAATCCCCCGGTACCGGTACTCTCACAAGTCAAGCATGGCCTCGGGCCGGGCTTGGGGAGTAGAAGAACTCCCAGAACCCCATCAAGCAGGTATCAATACTAGAAACATGGAGTTCATTTGTGTAATAGACATGTTTTGTACTACCTTCCATAGTAAATACAGTGGAACCTCGAGTGACGTGGGGCTCCAGTTACGAGCCTTTCGAGTAACGAGCAAGCCACTCGCAGAAAATATGTCTCGACTGATGAGCTTTCGCTTGATTAACGAGCGTTCCCGCTTGTTCTCCCGACACCTCCGACGACAGTTTTGTTGTTGTTTCGCAAGACGAGTTTTCCACATAATGAGCTCGGTGTCGGAATGGATTAAACTCGTTAATCGAGGCGCTACTTGTATAGATACTCTCACTTTTGGATGACAGCTTGTATATATAACACTGTAATATATATATCATCTCACTGATACATTTCAGGTTTAATAGCATTATGATAATTTGGTAAAGACTACATGAATAATTTGTAGACCAAAGTTTGTTAACCACTTGCATGTATTTATATCACCAGGTGTCTTCAGTGATGGACTATGTAAAGAAGCTCCTTGATTCTAAAAACCCAAAGATCATGCCCAAGGAAATTGGAATAATTACTCCTTACAGAAGACAAGTAGAGAAGGTAAGAATTAGGCTAGAAAGAAACCAGATATGGTTTTAATTGAAAAGGAGTGTATGAGTGTAGAGGAGTCTATCCTCAATAGAATAAGCTATTTTGAACTAGATCCATTCTATGGTTTTAGTTAATCTTTCTAGTGGCACGTCCAAAATCTTTCCTCATTTGTAGTGGCTTACATTGTTCCAGTATTTATTAAAAAGTTTGAGCTTGGAAACTTTGCGACCCCATAGTCATTCTTGTTATAGACAACCTCGTAGTGCTTTGCAGCTCATAAACTGTTGAATAAATGCTAACTAAGCCACCATGATCGGGGAAAACTACACAGGTTTTGTAAGTGGTCACACAATTGCTTGATTTGTCCTTGTCTGGATTCATGAGAAATCTGAATGTCAGAAATGCTACTCTTTCTTGGCTGTTTATCTCCTAATCTATATATATTTTGTTTACATCAAATAATTTGTCAAACACCATGAAAAAGCAACCATAGCATTATATTTTAGCTCTTCTCTATGGTTTACCCAAACTTCGTATAGGACTGTACCTATTTGGTAAATTGTTGAAAACTCAATCCAAGCATTATTTAGAGGTACAGTACTATATAGTCTCTCTCTTTTCTCCAAGATTAATGGGCAAATTTTGCTTAGCAAAATCTTAATTTGAACTTGTCATATGCTGAATATCTGTCAAAAGATAAATTAATTGCTGTATGTGATTTGAATCTCTCAACGATGGATTGAATACTGTATCTGGATTGAAGCCAGGATGTTCTAAAATGATCTACTCACGTGCACAGGCAGAAAGAAATTTTGAAAAAGGGATAGCAGATAAATGTAAAACAGAACCGGGCCTATTCTACAAATTCATAAACAACAAATTGCAGGTAAAGGATAATATCCAGAGGTTGAAAATGGGAAACAGATTCACGGAAAATGAAAAGGAAATGGGTGAAACATTAAATGAAAAGTTCCAAAGTGTGTTTGTACAAAATGAAATCTTCAGAGAACCAGACACAATAAGAATTCCAGAGAACAACATAGAGCGGATAGAGGTGTCTAGAGATGAAGTGGAAAATATGCTAAAGGAGCTCGGGAGGAACAAAGCAGCTGGCCCAGATGGCGTTTCACCATGGGTTCTGAGAGAATGTGCATCTGAGCTCAGCATTCCACTTCACCTGATCTTTCAGGCATCCCTGTGTACAGGAATCGTAGCAGACGTGTGGAAACAGGCTAACATAGTTCCAATCTACAAAAGTGGCAGCAGGGAAGACCCCCTCAATTATAGACCTGTATCATTGACAAGTGTAATAGTGAAAGTATTGGAAAAGCTAATCAAAACTAAATGGGTAGAACACCTGGAGAGAAATGATATAATATCAGACAGACAGTATGGTTTTCGATCAGGAAGATCCTGTGTATCGAATTTACTCAGTTTCTATGATCGGGCCACAGAGATATTACAGGAAAGAGATGGCTGGGTTGACTGCATCTATCTGGACCTAAAAAAGGCTTTCGACAGAGTTCCACATAAGAGGTTGTTCTGGAAACTGGAAAATATTGGAGGAGTGACAGGTAAGCTTCTATCATGGATGAAAAATTTTCTGACTGATAGAAAAATGAGGGCAGAAATCAGAGGCAATGTATCGGAATGGAGAAATGTCACAAGTGGAGTACCACAGGGTTCAGTTCTTGCACCAGTGATGTTTATTGTGTACATAAATGATCTACCAGTTGGTATACAGAATTATATGAACATGTTTGCTGATGATGCTAAGATAATAGGAAGGATAAGAAATTTAGATGATTGTCATGCCCTTCAAGAAGACCTGGACAAAATAAGTATATGGAGCACCACTTGGCAAATGGAATTTAATGTTAATAAATGTCATGTTATGGAATGTGGAATAGGAGAACATAGACCCCACACAACCTATATATTATGTGAGAAATCTTTAAAGAATTCTGATAAAGAAAGAGATCTAGGAGTGGTTCTAGATAGAAAACTATCACCTGAGGACCACATAAAGAATATTGTGCAAGGAGCCTATGCAATGCTTTCTAACTTCAGAATTGCATTTAAATACATGGATGGCGATATACTAAAGAAATTGTTCATGACTTTTGTTAGGCCAAAGCTAGAATATGCAGCTGTTGTGTGGTGCCCATATCTTAAGAAGCACATCAACAAACTGGAAAAGGTGCAAAGACATGCTACTAAGTGGCTCCCAGAACTGAAGGGCAAGAGCTACGAGGAGAGGTTAGAAGCATTAAATATGCCAAAACTAGAAGACAGAAGAAAAAGAGGTGATATGATCACTACGTACAAAATAGTAACAGGAATTGATAAAATCGACAGGGAAGACTTCCTGAGACCTGGAACTTCAAGAACAAGAGGTCATAGATTTAAACTAGCTAAACACAGATGCCGAAGAAATATAAGAAAATTCACCTTCGCAAATAGAGTGGTAGACGGTTGGAACAAGTTAAGTGAGAAGGTGGTGGAGGCCAAGACCGTCAGTAGTTTCAAAGCGTTATATGACAAAGAGTGCTGGGAAGACGGGACACCACGAGCGTAGCTCTCATCCTGTAACTACACTTAGGTAATTACACTTAGGTAATTACACTTAGGTAATTACACTTAGGTAATTACACTTAGGTAATTACACTTAGGTAATTACACTTGAAGATACATAAAAGCACATACACAAAACTTGAAGATGATATTTTAAACGAGATCATATTCCCAAAGGGGCTACTCGGTCTGAAGACGGGATAGAAAATTTAGGAAAGGCGGTGGCGTTGCTGTGCTGGTGAAAGAACACCTGAAGGTAAACAAAATAATGATTACCAGTCCATGAGAAGTTGACATAATAACACTACAGATCTGCAGGATTTTTGGACTTGTAGATTTGGAAACCTCATCCTGGAAACGTTCATGTTTCAACATCTTAAACAAGCTATGAGGATGAGGGAAGGGGATGTTCCCTCCATGCTGGATTTAATATTTACCAGGAAAGAGGAAGAGATATTTGATATTCAGTACCTCCCTCCCTTGGGTAAAAGTGATGCATGTCTTTTTGGGAATAAAGTATGTAATGCATTATAATCTGAAAGAAAATGAGGTTGAAGCAGTTGAAAATCCTGATTTCAGGAGAGGCCATTATGGGAAGCTCAGACATTTCTTTAAGGAATTTGACTGGAAAGACTTGCTGTTAGGACATGAAGTAAATGAGATGTATGTCAAGTTTTGTGAAATATATGATAAAGGTATAACAAAATTTATACCAAAACAGAGATGCAGAACTAGGAAACAGGATTGATTCAACAGAAATTGCGAGATGGCCAGAGACTAAAAGAGACATAAATGGAATCAATATAAGAAGAGGCCAAACCCCCAAACATACCAGCGATACAAAGGTGTGAGAAGCAACTACACGGCAGCGAGGAGAGAAGCAGAAAGAAATTTTGGAAAAGGGATTGCGGACAAATGTAAAACAGAACCAGGTCTATTCTATAAATTCATAAACAACAAATTCCAGGTAAAGGATAATATTCAGAGGTTGAAAATGGGAATCAGATTCATGGAAAATGAAAAGGAAATGTGTGAAACATTAAATGAAAAGTTCCAAACTGTGTTTGTACAAAAAGAAATCTTCAGGGAACCAGATACAATAAGAATTCCAGAGAACAACATAGAGCACATAGACACATTTCCACATCGTCTAGAGACGAAGTGGAAAAAATGCTCAAAAAGCTAAATAAGAACAAAGCAGTTGGTCCAGATGGAGTTTCATCATGGGTTCTGAGAGAATGTGCACCTGAACTCAGCATTCCACTTCAACTGATTTTTCAGGCATCCCTGTGTACAGGAGTTGTAGCTGATGTGTAGAAAAAGGCTAACATAGTTCCAATCTACAAAAGTGGCAGCAGGGAAGACCCCCTCAATTATAGACCAGTATCATTGACAAATGTAATGGTCAAAATACTTTATTGGAAAAAATAATGAAACTAAATGGGTTGAACACCTGGAGAAAAACAATATAATATCAGACAGTCAGTAAAACTTACTCAGTTTTTATGATCGAGCCACAGAGATTTTACAGGAAAGAGATGGTTGGGTTGACTGCATCTATCTAGACCTAAAAAAGGCTTTTGACAGAGTTCCACATAAGACGTCCTGGAAACTGGAACATATTGGAGGGGGTGACAGGTAAGCTAACATGGATGAAAAATTTCCTATCTGATAGAAAAATGAGGGTCGTAATACCACAGGGTCCAGTTCTTGCACCGGTAAAGTTCATTGTCTACATAAACGATCTACTCGTTGGAATACAGAATTATATGAACATGTTTGCTGATGATGCTAAGATAATAGGGAAGATAAGAAACTTAGATGATTGTCATGTCCTTCAAGAAAACCTGGACAAAATAAGTATATGGAGCACCACTTGGTAAATGGAATTTAATGTGATTAAATGCCATGTTATGGAATCTGGAATTGGAGAACATAGACCCCACACAACTTAGAAATTATGTGAGAAGCTTTTAAAGAATTCTGATAAAGAAAGAGATCTAGGGGTGATTCTAGATAGAAAACTGTCACCTGGGGACCACATTAATTAAGAACATTGTGCAAGGAGCCTGTGCTACACTTTCTAACTTCAGAATTGTTTTTAAATACATGGATGGAAAAATACTAAAGAAATTGTTCACGACTTTTGTTAGACCAAAGCTGGAATAAACAGCGATTGTATGGTGCCCATATCTTAAGAAGGACATCAACAGACTGGAGAAGGTGCAAAGACATACCACTAAGTGACTCCCAGAACTGAAGGGCAAGAGCTACGAGAAGAGATTAGAAGCATTAAATATGCAAAAACTAGAAGATAGAAGAAAAGGAGGCGATACGATCACTAGGTACAAAGTAGTAACAGGAATTGATAAAGTTGATAGGGAAAAATTCCTGAGACCCGGAACTTCAAGAAAAAGAGGTCATAGATTTAAACTAATGAAACAAAGTTGTCGAAAAAAATATCAGAAAATTCACTTTTGTAAACAGAGTGATAGACGGTTGGAACAAGTTAGGTGAGAAGGTGGTGGAGGCCAAAACCGTCAGTAATTTTTAAGCGTTCTATGACAAAGAGTGCTGGGGAGACGGGACACCACAAGCGTAGCTCTTATCCTGTAACTACACTTAGGTAATTACACAATTTAGACAAAAATATTCAATTATCAGGGATACATTTTATTTAATGATATTCTTGTCCTTACTGTGTTTTGTTTATTTCAGCAGTGAATATTAAATGTACTCTTTCAGTTTTTAAGCAAATCCATCTGTATGTGTTTCCAAAAGTATAAATGTATTTGTAGTCCACTGTATTTGTTGAAGCGACTGTTTTTTTATTAAGTATATATGGACAGCCTTTGTTGAATCATAAAAACATTTGTGCTCTAATATATTGAATTCATTTTTTGTCTGTTGCTATATATTGCAATATATTTTTACTTTTAATAGATCAGGAACCAAATGAAGAAAGTACATGGCACAAATGATATTAAGGTCGGCTCCCCTGAAGAATTCCAAGGAGACGAACGGCGTGTCATCATAATTTCTACTGTTCGTGCTTCTGCTGATAAGCTTGCTGGTGATCAGTTCTTCAAACTTGGGTTCTTGCGCAATCCTAAGGTATTACCCTGATTTCTAGGAGCAGTTCAAGCTTTTCTCGGATAAATAACCCAACCCACGCACATGAAATGAAAGTGACAAAATTTCTATAAATATAAAGCATTTGGCCCTCATTGCTTTTGTACCCTATCTTAATTATTAGAACATAATAGTAACATAAAATACATGCAGTATATTTGCTACCGACTAACGCATGTACTTTCTTTGCAGAGATTTAATGTGGCTGTCACTCGTGCCAAGGCTTTGCTCATCATAGTTGGCTGTCCAGAAATCTTGTGTTTGGATGAGTAAGTATTATTTTTAAGTAAACAAAGACACATGTTAAGTGTCTTTGTTAAGCCATTTGTTGAGAGTTTGCCTGTCATGTTGATTTTATATTTCCAAGAGAAGGCTCTTTCAGTTACCATTTTGTCTTGACCATCTTTTCAACCATTTTCTTAGCTTCAAATTAGCATTTGTTATGGTGAAATATTTATTGGGTTCATAAATGAGTCGGGTCATTTGTTTTTTTTTGCTATCGATAGATACAAATTATTATCCAGGCTGTATTTGTTGGTTTACAGGTTTAAACACACCATTAGTTCTCAAAAGAAAATATTTAGAAAGTAAGTGTATTTAAATAATTAATGATGCATTTATTCCAACAGAAGCACATGTAAAAGATCTGTGTTGCATAGGTTTGGTGCAGAATGTTGAGGTGATCCTCATTATGGGATTAGTAGGATCTTATTGACCTTATTTGCTCACATATAAGACACATATATTTTAATGAGGATATTTTGTGGAAGATTGTTTTTGTAGGATTCATTATAAATTTATTGAAAGCAATTTTCAAGTGGTTGTGTACTAGTAAGAATCGTGTGACCTTGTGTGTAAATCCAGTATAATCCCTGTTGGTGGTGGGAGCAAAAATTATGCGTCTTATCTGCTAGAAAATACAGTAATGGAGCAAGAGTTTGATGCTGTCTCCTACAGTAGGCTAATTCTCAAGTTGGAAAAGCAGGCTGGGATAACATAAAGATATGGGAATGGATTAGTTGTATTAATAGTTGTTGAGAAAGAGGAAAGAGTGTTGGAGAGAAGCAGTAAATAGGTACCTGGAAGCAGCTGTCACGGGCTGCTTCCTGGGGGTGGAGGCCTGGTCGAGGACCGGGCCGCGGGGACACTAAAAATCCCCAAAATCATCTCAAGGTAACCTCAAGATGGCTGAATAAATGCCTGATACCACAAGAATATGCAGGGTTGGGATTCATCAAGCAATTACCCAACCACTTACGACAATTGTACATTTTTCCTCAATCATGGTGGTTTTGTTTACATTTATTAAACAGTTTATGAGCTTGGAAATTCCTCAGCCCAAGGTTATTGTTGTTATTAAAACCTAGCAGTGCTTTGGAGCTTATGAACTTTAATAAATGTAAACACAGCCGCCATGATTAACCCTTAGGCTGCGCATCCCATCATATGAAGTATTAGGGTACAGCATAAGATTTTTAAAATCCCACGGGTATACAGGCTTATATTGGCTTCCTCAGGCCTAAAGTAAATGGACACTATTTTAAAACAAATTCGTTGACACTGTTCGATCTTGTCGCCATCGGTGAGGTTGCAGCTGCGCCGGCTCATTAAATTAGCTATGTTTCATTGGATCTGTAAACTTGGATAACTTTGGTAATTCTAGAGCTAATACATGCATCACTTCTCTGACCTCAAGGGAATAGCACTTATTAGCTCAAAACTGGTCGACATAACACCAAAAATAGAATGTTTTATTGTTCTTTTAGCAAATAATATAGTTCATATCTTAGTGACACTAATATATCTGTGCGTACCTATGATCTACATGTTCTGTGATACAAATAACATTATTGACAGTCTGTTGTGTCATTGCACTTGAAAAACTATGGAATATCATTAGAAATGAGAAGAAAACATTATATATATTCAATGCTTGCAGTTACAATTTCATGCAAAACATGTAGAGCCTGGCTGAACTCTTGACCACATGTTATGAGGTTACCACACCCATCACAACAGCTCAGGGGTTCATAATCGTGAATGAAATGTACATAATTATATATGTAGTATGTATACAGTATAATAATACCATAAATAGAATGTTTAAGTGTTTCTAGCAAAAAAGATAGACACATCTTAGTGACGTGAAAATATTTGAGCATTCCGACATTCCATTCATTTTATTTCAAAATTTTGCAGACACACTGTTGAATAACATTACTACAAAAACAAAAACAAAAAACTAATCATAAATATTGATATAGATATGTAAAAATATATTCATGGCAACTCCTGCCTGACGGCTGGCTCGTGGCTACCAACTTGGGAAGCTTGCTTGATGAGCGCACATAAATCGTGACGTCATCGCAAGACTTTCTGGCTTTACCACAGCCAAAGTAAGTCACATACAATAATTTTGTTCTCCCTTATTACCAGGGAATGCATTTTAGCACTATCGCTCGCTTTGGACACCGATCACGTCCATTTTTTTTCTCCTGAGTCATAGCCGTGGACAGGACTTGCATCCACTACAAAAATATTTGTATAAAATTCATTTTTTATCCCATTGACCTCGGGATAGTTTCAAAATAAGTGCCTTTAAAATGTGCACAATTTGATAAGATGTGAGCCCCGTGTACTCGCGGGAGTTTTGAATCCTACGCTATACCTACGATCACCGTGAGGCGCTCTGCACACCCTCGATCTAGAGCCTCAAGGCGCTCTGTGCAGTGCAGTGGTTACAGTGCGGTGGTTAAGGCACTTTGAGCAGTGCAGTGGTTAAAGAATTCTCGAGACCATCTAAGGGTGGTTTTGGATAGTAAACTGTCATTAGAGGAACACATAAAGAACATTGTGTGAGGAGCTTATGAGTTGCTTTCCAACTTGGATATTCTTTTAATTATGGATGGTGAAATACTAAAAAAAATGTTCATGAATTTTTTAGTCCAAAATTTGAATATGCAGCAGTTGTATGGTGCCCATATCTCAAGAAGCACATAAATGAACTGGAAAACGTGCAACAGCGTGCTACAAAGTGGCTTCTGGGACTGAAAAATAAGAGTTACAAGGAGAGACTATAGGCATTAAACATGCCAAAACTAGAAGATAGAAGAAAAAGAAATGATATGATCATTACTAACAAAATACTAACAGAAATCCACCAAATTGACAAAGAGGAATTCCTGAAACCAGCATCTTCAAGAAAAAGAGGACACAGATTCAAGCTTAGTAAACAAAGGTGCTGAAAAAATATTAGAAAGTTTTCTTTTGAAAACAAAGAGTGGTAGATGGTTGGAACAAGTGTGGTGGTGGTGAAGGCCGAAACCATTATACGACAGAGTACAGTACTGTACTGGGAAGACGGGACAACACGAGCGTAGCTCTCATCCTATAAATACACTTAGGTAATTACGTAAGGGGGCCTAACACCAAAAAATAAAAGTTGTTCATTTTCAATCAAACTTTATTTGCTAGTTGTATATGAAAAGGGCTTCAACTGGTCCAAGTCTCAGCATCATAGCATAACTAGGAAAGGAGGAAAAATATAAAACCTATTATTCAACAAATTTTCAACACTTCAAAATGCCTGGACAAACACAAGTGTCAATTAAAATAATTTCTATGCCAGCTATCACATTAGCATATTTTATGGATTTCTATGAACAATTTTATCAAAAAATTGTTTAGTGCAATAATACAATTTTTCAGTTTCCCTGCAGAAATATGCAACAAACTGATGTTTATAAATATTTTTAAAAATCAATAAATGGACATAGGAGAAAAGTGTCTCATACAGATTGTAGAAGAATAAATTCTATATATAATGTGTAATTTTCATAAAAATTGATTAATAAATGAATGAGTACAGGCACCATGAAGTTGTAAATTACTTACTTGAGTAAAATAAGTTTAAAGTTTGACCACCTGTGGCTGATGTTGACGTTGACCGAGTTCTTTCAAAACTGGCACTCTTGCAGAGAGCCATGCGGTCAGCAAGGTGTGTACATTCCATGCAAAGGTACAAAATTTAAGGTGTAATAAAGGAGATAGTAATAGGAATAAGAACATAAGAACAAAGGTAACTGCAGAAGGCCTATTGGCCCATACAAGGCAGCTCCTATTTATATCCACCCAATAAGAAAAGAATAGTAATAGGAATAAGAAGGGGATAGTAATAGGAATAAGAAGGGGATAGTAATAGGAATAGGCAAGGAATCGTAAGAGAAGACAAGGGAAAGAAAAAGAAAGAAGGAAAGAGAAAAAGATAAATGGAAGGGTAAGCTTAATTTGGGTAATCTTAGAGGAAGAAAAAGCAAGGCAAAGGTACAAAAGGTAAGGCATAATAAAGGGGATAGTAATAGGAATAAGAACATAAGACCAAAGGTAACTGCAGGAGGCCTATTGGCCCATATGAGGCAGCTCCTATTTATACCCACCCAATAAGAAGGGGATATCCGTCCAATGGTATCCTTCTCGACTGTCATACGCATAGGAATAAGAAGGATATAGTAATAGGAATAGGCAAGGGATCGTAAGAGAAAACAAGAGAAAGAAAAAGAAAGAAGGAAAGAGAAAGAAAGATAAATGAAAGGATAAGCTTTATTAGGTCACGTTTGTTAGTCGTTCCTTCACTTTATAGTGTTTGGTTTGGTCAACAGTGAGTGTATTATTTATGCATAAGAAGTTATTTTTTACATTATTACAAAAATAATTACGTTTAGAACATATGGCGCAGTACCCTCCCGGGCACCCGAGACGTGGGTCACCGGATTTTGTACAATTGCGGCTGGAAATTTACCATAAATACGTAAGTTTTCATCATAAAAATAATCGGTTTGCACCACTGTGTTGCCACAAATATGTAGTATTTTTGCAAATATTTCAGTATTTTACAATTTTTCTGAATTTTTTTCGTCTTTAGGGCCCCATCGTGCACATGAATGTAATTACCTATCTCCACCAGCACATGGAATCGTGGTCCTAGTTATAAACTTATTTTACCATTTATACTGTATATGCAAATTTACTACTTGTCTTGTACTACATGTACAGTATGTATTAATATGTTGTATTATTGTTTGTTATTTTCTTTGCAGGCATTGGGGAAAACTGCTTGATTTCATACAACAGAAAGGCGGTTATCGAGGGCATAGATTTTCTCGAAATGGTTTTGATGATTTGGATGATATTCTGACAAGATTTGATAATCTCGGCCTCCGTAAGTGTATTGGGTTCATTAATGCATTAGCCTACTCTTTACTCCCCACACTGTTCCCTCGTACCCTACCACTACTTTCTCTTCCACCCCCTTCCTCTGTTACCCCCCTTTCTCTTCTCTTTGTCTTCCATCCTCCCTCCCTCTCTCACTCCCCCTCCTCTCCTCTCCCCCTTCTCATCCTCCCCTCCTCCTCCTCCCCTCCTCCTCTCTTCCCTTCCTCCTCCCCCCCCTCCTCCTCTCTTCCCTTCCTCCTCCCCCCCCCTCCTCTTCTCTTCCCTTCCTCCTCCCTTCCTCCTCCTTCCCTACCTCCCTCTCTCCCTCCTCCTTCCTCCCTCCCTCCCTCCCTCCCTCCCTCCCTCCCCTCCTCCCTCCCCTCCTCCCTCCCCTCCTCCTTTCCTTCCCTCCTCCCTTCCTTCCCTCCCTTCCTAAATTTCCCTCTTCTGTTCCCTCTCCTTTCCCTCACTGCCCTCCCTCCCTATTCTTCTCTCCCACCTCTTTTCCCTCTCCTCCCTCTTCATCCTATTCACCCCCGTTCTTGTTCCTGCTCCCACTTCTCCGCCATTGCCCCCTACACCTACCCCCTCCATTCCTTCCTACCATCACCCTTTCCTTTTTATTGGCTATCCTTTCTCTTCCCTTTTATTCTCCCTCTTTTCTGAACTTTCAAAATGTTCAGAAAAATATTTAACCTTTTTTATTGGGCATTGTTATTAAAAGTAAGGAATTTCTTGCAGATGAATTATTCCATTTTAAGAAATTGATCTATATTATAGTGTGTTTTATTGTTCCAGGTCCAGTATTAGGAGAGGATATCAGTGTCCGGGAATTAGCGGAGACTCCTGAGTGGCGTACGGAACACTGATGTACACGTCCAGCAGTAGGATAGCACACGAGCGGTGCCGATACATGAGTGTGTGTCCTACGCTGGGCTCCAACAAGTAGTGCACTGTCACATGTACCCTGCTCTGGGCTCACACTAGAGGCTTTAGCCATCCATTATCACCAACAGCATGACAATCATATTGTAGAAATGTGTGGACATTTTGTTTATAACACTGTTATTTGTAGGTGATTTACTCCTTCATGTATGTGCTTACAATATCTAGCTCACAACTGGAGTTTAATCACAACTGGAGTTTAATGAAATGGTGCTTGTATTTTGTGATGTATTTTTAAAGATTATTTTTCTGTTAATTACATAATTATGTTTTCTCGTATGTTTTTTTTTTTATATTTTATGTATTTGTCTGATTTTCTTGGACAATGAAACTCTAAGACAATATATACAAAAATATATGTTATGTTCTCATGAGGTGAGGTCATGTGATGGTAGTTTATGGGCAGAAGTTTCAATACTTGTATGTGATAAGTTAGTGTTGAAGTATCACCTTTTACACTTTTTTTTTTTTAAGTATCTTATTCTGATAATTTTTATATTATTTAAACACCAACACTGATTCTCATTTTTGTCAATCATAAATACTTAGTTCTCAATCACTTTTATTAAGAAAGTTGCTTAATAAACAACTTTTCTTGTAATTGTTTAGATTTAGATTTTTCAAATACTTTTATTGATTTCAGTATTGTGTAGTTTTTGAGGCGTCGTCACTTTTATGTTCTCTTTTAGTAATGTGGAAGTTCACCGGAGAGGAACTTTAAAAGTACAAGTGGAATTAAATTGTTACAAATAATTGAAAGATTGTTGCAGACAATTGAATGATAATTGGAATATTTCTGATGTATCTGTTTAATTTGCATAGCACATCTTGCAATAACTACCAGTTTTTTAATAGATGACCAAAGATGAATTAAAGCGTGCACAGGTGCATAACTTTAAAGAAAAAATTAAGAATATATATATGAGAGTTTTTTGTATAGAATATATAAGAATTAGCTATTGTGTATACCTCTTATAAGCACAAATTTCAGATTTATCGAGTGCCAGTTTAGTAGATTAGTAATGCTTGTGCACAGGAGAATGTACCTATTTACCACTGTCTGTGCACAATCAGATATATCTATGCATCAGTTTGAGATACAGTGACATCTCCAAAATCCAGATCATTTCATTTCGGACCTTATCTGGAAGTTGCATGAAATTCTGATTACTGGAAATTTATCCTTCTGTAAAATGATTGTGCACGAAAAATATATACCCAAATCTAGGGTTTCACCTAACGTGATGTAGCACAGACTGGTCTTGATAATACAGAGCAGCAAAATGCTGTTATAGTGCTATATGATTCTGACTTATGCTTCTGTTGTCAATAATGTAGCCTTATTGTCTAAATGGTATGGATTGTTATTCTAATAACGTTGCCTTACAAGACCATGAAAAGGAGGTTCCTCTTATCTCTGTCTGATGTACACATACTACTATTGCCACACAACATTGCTTCAGTGTGCATATAATGATATATTAGAAAGAAAACAAAGAAATTAAATTATAATTTTCAAATTAAAATGTCAAAAAAATATGGTTTGATAGAAATTACTTGATTATGAACCGAGAATTCTGATTTCACTGCATCCCTCTCCAGAATCCGTTTATTTTCTTAAGATATCCAGATTTTGGAGGGGGAAATCTAGTAGGGAGATTTGGTCCATTGTTTAGAGGGATCCATTATTGTGAAGGTCTGAATTTGGGAGGGTGCACTGTATAGTATATGCTAAATGGTGGATTTTTATGTGCACCATCTTCTGTTAAATGTGGGACCAAGTAAATAACATGAGTTTTCTTAATATTATCTTAAGTAAATTAGCAGTGAAGCCCTTGTGCCTAACCAAGATTAAATGTTTAGCACTTACTCCAAGCCATATATATTACACCTGGCTTGATTTGTGTGAATATGGTAAAGATGGAAGCATATCCATATTACAAACACTTTCTTCAGATTTGTGAAGAGTTTCTGGCCGGTTATATTGCAATACCAATCATTTGTGCTTTGATATCATGAGGTGTGGGTTTTACCGTAACATCACATAGTGATCAAATGCGGTGAAAGGCAGACATTCTCCTATGCTGTACTAAGGCCTCAGACTACCCAGCATTTCTATCCTGGCAGTAGTTACTAGATACTGTGAATTATGTCATGGGACTGTCATCTCATTCTTTTTAAGAAGTTATTGCCACTACAAAGAATGAAATGTAGAAAAATCTTGATTTGTGAGTAAAGTGCGAGCGCGCGCACACACGCACATGTGTGTGCGTGTGTGACATCGCACATGTTGATGCTGGGGAGACGGAACACCACAAGCGTAGCTCTCATCCTGTAACTACACTTGGGTAATTACACACTCACACGCTCGCTCGCTCGCTCACTCACTCACTCTGACACTTCATGTTTGTTGTGCCAGCTGACCCATCCAGAGTTATGATCCTGCCAGTGTTTGTATTAGTTCCTATTTCCATGTCTGTACTGTAGTTACAACTCATTTCTTTCCTGTGTTTTTACATCCATTTATGCCTGTTACTTATTCTCAAATACCTTTTTTTGTGTTATCATTCCACCCAAAGCATTCCTATATCATTATCCTAGAATTTTATATGATTTATGTATTCTAAGATTACAGTCATTTATTTGATAAGGAGAAATTAAAAACTCATGCAGTTATGATACCTGATGTAAGACTTAATAGAACAAGTCATTTTCTTGTGATCTTAGGTGTAGTAATATCGTCATATTTACTGACTTTTGCTCATACTTCCCATGGTATTATTTTTCATGACTGTGTACTGTATTTTTAATATTGGTGATAAAAAATAACTTCGAAACAATTGTGGCATTTTTTATAATAAATTTAACTAGAATGAAACTGATCAAAGTTTTGTTTGTATTACCACCGTATTTAAGTTTTGTTTGTAATCTTCATTTATTGTTCTGTGGAATCTGAAATGTGATTCATTTTGACATTCGTAGCTTCAATTATCCATCTGAACTTTATCACTAAATAAACCATGGTAAAGTTAAGGCACAGAAAGGAATTATTTATGCCAATATTCTTATTTTTTAACCTATACAATTTAATTGTAATATTGGTATCCATACAGTATGTATAAATACTTTTGTATTGCACACGCTACATAATCATGTCTTGGGAGTGCCATAGCTCTGTTTGCATGTTTTTGGCAATCCCAGCTTTTGAGATGTGTGTCCTGATGAGAGTTGGAAGCATTACAATGTAGGGTGTGAATTAGCTATTGTCTTGTTTAAAACTGCAAGACCAAACTAGCCTCTAGAGCCAATGCGAACATCTTAAAAAAAAAAGGTTTACCATGGCTGAATGAAAGTGCATACCGAGTAGTTTATGTTGCCCTAGTGCTATGTCAGTATCCATGACTTCTCTTTAATGTTGTTTCACCATTAAAATACCTGGGCATTGTTACTACATTTGTTATTATAATTAATACCATTCCCTCCCTATTGTGAGAGAAATTTTCATTAACACTAAAAGAAAATTGTGAAGGATTCTATTTTGCAGCAACATTATATTTATACCTAGTTCATTATGTTTTAAGATTCCTGCTGTGTCCCTTGTGAAATGTACAAAACCAGCTTTTTTAGAATGGTAAACCCCATCCCAAAGTAAGCAATAAACTCGTGTGTGTGTGTGTGTGTGTGTGTGTGTGTGTGTGTGTGTGTGTGTGTGTGTGTGTGTGTGTGTGTGTGTGTGTGTGTGTGTGTGTGTGTGTGTGTATATATATATATATATGTTTCATTGAATATGACCGCATATTCTGTATTTATTATTTTCTGGTTTAGGGCTTCTATCCCTCTAACTATTTTCTTAGCATCAGGGCTTAATTGAAATAGGAGTTCTCCAAAACTCATTTTCATACTTTTAAGGTGAAGAAAAGAAGTGATTTACTATAGAGTGTATTACACTTATTTGTATAATTTGCACGACGTTTCGAACCTCCATGGTTCATTCTCAAGTGAACAGATCTTACAATACTAGTTGATTTTATACCTGCATTAGGTCAGGTGATAATACAATGAAGGTGAAAACATGGGGGGATACATAAGGGATAAACAATGTATACTGGACAGAGTATACAGAGACGAGAGCACCCCCAAATTAGACATACCTGAGCCACACTTGAAAAGTCTTCTCGAAGCATGTACAAAGGAAGCCCCTTTCATCAGTCCACAAGGAGACATGTATTTACAAATAGACGGAGTAGCAATGGGCTCCCCCTTAGGAGTTTTATTTGCTAATTTTTATATGGGAACCATCGAAGATAGGGTCTTCAGTAGCAGACAAAAACCAACTGTATACTGCCGTTATGTAGATGACATATTCGTAATAGTAAAAGACTCAGATGAACTAATTGACCTAAAAAGACACCTAGAGAGAGAGTCAGTACTCCGATTTACACATGAAAATAGTGAAAATAACAGTCTGCCATTCTTGGATGTACTAATAACAAAAACAGGAACCTCTTTAAGCACCAACGTATATACCAAGCCCACCAACATAGGATTATGCCTGAACGGTAGAAGTGAGTGCCCCCAAAGATACAAAGCCAGTGTTCTCAATGCTTATATTCGTCGAGCGCTTACCCACTGCTCTGAATGGAGCAACGTGAGTAGAGAGTTTGAAAGAGTAACTCAGGTATTGGTGAACAACGGATATAGCAACGCGGAAATAAACGCTGCTATAAGAAGACACTTGGACCGTTGGTATAATTCAGAACCTAGAACAGAAACCACAACACCCCCAATAAAATTATATTACAAATCAACCATGCACAGTGAACATATAAAAGAGGAAAGAATAATGAAAGAAATAATCCGTAAAGGAGTAAAAAGCACTACTACTAACCAAAACATAAACCTGATAATATTCTACAAAACCAAGAAGACTTCCGAACTCCTTATCAAAAACAGCCCGAAGCCGACGGAGAACCCTCTACAGCAGTCAAGCGTTGTATACATGTACACTTGCCCCCACGAAGGATGTAACCTTCAATGTAAGTACATAGGTATGACGTCGACCAAGCTGACGAGGCGTTTGACATGCCATCTTCAATCACAGGAATCACATGAGACAAGCCCATGACATTACTCTAACAAGAGAAATGTTGAACAAGAATACTTGCATAATAGACAAAACCCAAGATTCAAGAAGATTACAAATTCTTGAGGCAATTCACATAAGAATAGAGCGACCTACCATGAACACCCAAATCACGGAACTATTTACTCTACCCACCATGAGAGTAAGGACAAGACAAGAACATATCGATGCCAACACAGAAGACAATGTCCAACATAACTGGCCAATTACACTGATTTAATCTTTGTGTTTAGATAGGAGATGCCTCGTATGGGCCAATAAGCCTTCTGCAGCCCCTATGTTTATCCCTTATGTATCCCCCCATGTTTTCACCTTCATTGTATTATCACCTGACCTAATGCGGGTATAAAATCAACTAGTTGTGTAAGATCTGTTCACTTGAGAATGAACCATGGAGGTTCGAAACGTCGTGCAAATTATACAAATAAGTGTAATACACTCTATAGTAAATCACTTCTTTTCTTCACCTTAAAAGTACGAAAATGAGTTTTGGAGAACTCCTATTTCAATTAAGCCCTGATGCTAAGAAAATAGTTAGAGGGATAGAAGCCCTAAACCAGAAAATAATAAATACAGAATATGCGGTCATATTCAATGAAACATGTTTGAAAGAAAACCTGCTGCCAGTATACACCAATATATATATATATAATATTTTTTTCGTCAAGCCACTGTCAGTGTGAGAGAACTCGTGTCCAGCTTATAAGCCTATACTTGCATAAACCACAAGTGAAGATTAATAATCTTTGGACAACACCCACCAGTGGGACTCGAACCCAGAAAGCACAACTACCTTCCAGTAGCTGCCATAACTAGTATGCTTTAACCCACTACACCATCAGACCCTACAAAAGAAGTAGAGAGTTCGAGATATATATACATCCCAAACATCTCCACTTCCCGAGGGCACCAGATGAGTGTGGGGTCAGTCTGCATTTTTCGTCAAGCCACTGTCAATGTGAGAGAACTCGTGTCCAGCTTATAAGCCTATACTTGCATAAACCACAAGTGAAGATTAATAATCTTTGGACAACACCCACCAGTGGGACTCGAACCCAGAAAGCACAACTACCTTCCAGTAGCTGCCATAACTAGTCCCACTGGTGGGTGTTGTCCAAAGATTATTAATCTTCACTTGTGGTTTATGCAAGTATAGGCTTATAAGCTGGACACGAGTTCTCTCACATTGACAGTGGCTTGACGAAAAATGCAGACTGACCCCACACTCATCTGGTGCCCTCGGGAAGTGGAGATGTTTGGGATGTATATATATCTCAAACTCTCTACTTCTTTTGTAGGGTCTGATGGTGTAGTGGGTTAAAGCATACTTATACATATATATATATATATATATATATATATATATATATATATATATATATATATATATATATATATATATATATATATATATATATATATATATATATATATATATATATATATATATATATATATATATATATATATATATATATATATATATATATATATATATATATATATATATATATATATATATATATATATATATATATATATATATATATATATATATATATATATATATATATATATATATATATATATATATATATATATATATATATATATATATATATATATATACAACTTTAGAACACTTTCCCACCAGGAGACTCGAACCCTAGCCAGCACAGAAGCCTTCCAGCAACTGGCATAACAGGTACGCCTTAACCCTCTCCACCACCTGCTCAGACCCTTAAAAGAGATGGTAATTTCGGAGTATTTAAATACACCAAAGATCACCACCTCCCAAGAGCACTAGAGCAAGTGAGGGGTCATTTAGACGTTAATTTCATCAAGTCCCTGTTAATATGGGAAGACACAGTGGAGAGGGTTAAGGCGTACCTGTTATGCCAGTTGCTGGAAGGCTTCTGTGCTGGCTATGGTTCGAGTCTCCTGGTGGGAAAGTGTTCTAAAGTTATATATATATATATATATATATATATATATATATAATGTCGTACCTAGTAGCCAGAACGCACTTCTCAGCCTACTATGCAAGGCCCGATTTGCATAATAAGCCAAGTTTTCCTTAATTAATATATTTTCTCTAATTTTTTTCTTATGAAATGATAAAGCTACCCATTTCATTATGTATGAGGTCAATTTTTTTTTATTGGAGTTAAAATTAACGTAAATATATGACCGAACCTAACCAACCCTACCTAACCTAACCTATCTTTATAGGTTAGGTTTGGTTAGGTAGCCGAAAAAGTTAGGTTAGGTTAGGTAGGTTAGGTAGTCGAAAAACAATTAATTATTGAAAACTTGGCTTATTAGGCAAATCGGGCCTTGCATAGTAGGCTGAGAAGTGCGTTCTGGCTACTAGGTACGACATATATATATATATATATATATATATATATATATATATATATATATATATATATATATATATATATATATATATATATATATATATATATATATATATATATATATATATATATATATATATATATATATATATTAGTATATTTTGGTAGCAGTCTTTCCTGTAGACATATTTTATTAAATATGACCGAAAAAGTAAGATTAATAATTCTAACACGAATTTTCTCAATCTTTCGTACATTATGCTTCACTGTTGGAGGTAAATCAAAAATCACTTCTCCAAAATTCATTTTTATTTCTAGTCTGACGCGACACGGGCGCGTTTCGTAAAACTTATTACATTTTCAAAGACTTCACAAATACAC